GCCTTGGGACCGTTTCTCTGAGTGTAGTTCTCAGGGGGCGCCTCCCTGCATCCCCCTGGCTGTCCGGGTCTCCACCCAGGCGCTCAGTCGGAGTCCCTGGCCACAGAGATGGGGCCTGGGGACTTGCTCTGGGGGTTACTTGTCCCAGGGGATTCTTTAAAAAAAAATTTTTTTTCAGAGGGGTGGACGAGTCGTCGTCCTCGGTTTTCCGGCCCATGTCTGTCCCTGGTCACCAGGGCCACCGCACCTGCTCATCTGGGCAGCTGGGAGCACCCCCAAAACCCCTGCTGGCCCCTGGCAAAGTGATTCCCCTCTCGGTTTCAGCATTTAGCCAAACACACATGCTTCCTTTTGCACAGCAGATGGGTTTCTATAAAGGGTGTAATGTCGATTTTTCCTCATTATTAAATATTTCTTACATATCAAGGAAAATTCATCATTTATAGGAATTACACCAATTCTTTTGCAGAGGGGAATAGCACATTGAACAATGAACAATAATCCCTTGGTTTATCTTTTATAAATGAAGAGTTTCACAAAGATAATTGTTTTAAAACGAATCAATCAGACCTTAAGGAAAGTTCTTGCCTGAGGTATCTAGACTGGAAGGGGGCAGTGGTTGAGAACCCCACGTGGGGGCAGTATGGAGCCATTCTCTTGGCTGCGTTTGAATCCCTTGACCCGCCAAGATTTTCTGGGGAGTCGCCTGCACTACCTGCCCACATGAGTTCAGTCAGCTTGACTCCGACCCCACGTCTCTCTCTCCCTCTCTCTCTCTCTCTCTCTCTCACACACACACACACGCACACACGCACACACACGGGACAACTGTCACACTCTGTGGGTCCCTATGGGTGTCCTGTGGTCCTTTACCCTGATGGCAAGGGCCTGAGCAAAGCCCTGGCCCATCAGCGTCCCCTGCCCACCAGCGTCCCCCTGCCCACCAACGTCCCCTGCCATCAGCTTGCCCTTGCCCACCAGCATCTCCTTGCAAGCCCAGGGCAGCAGGGCTGCGAGTCCCCGCCCTCAGCTCAGACCACCACCTCTCTCCCCTTCTTGCCCTGCTTTGTAGAAAAGAAAGGTCCTCCAACTCTGACTTCGCTCCCTCCATCCCCCTCCTCCCAAGCTACACTCTGCAAACCTTTCAGCAACTCCCATCTCTCAGCAGCACCTTTCCTAATCCCTAACCCTTCTCTCTCCAGGTCTGCATTTCTAAGACCCTGTGGGTAAGGCAGGCTAGAAAGGAACTCCCAGGCCAGAAAAGGGAGGGTCACCCCACTTCCCAAGAGAGGACCGAGCACCAGTCCCACACCCCACTGCTGCCGCCCTGGGGCAGACAGACAAGCCGGCGGTGGGAACCCCAGCCAGGCGGAGATGTCGGGATAATTTAGCAGGTGGCCTCCTTACTCCCAGATCTGTCACCATGGTAACCTGTTTTTTTCTTTAAAAAATGTACAGTGCCAAGAGGAGGAAGATGGCTGACAAAATCCTCCCTCAAAGGGTGAGTGCCTTTCACAGCAGCCCCCCCCCCCCGCCCCGCCTGCCCAAAGGGTGAGTGCCTTTCACAGAAGCCCCTACCCCCCTCCCGCCACCCCCCTCCATGCTTCTTCCCCTCCCCCTTTAGGAGTGGAGCTTCAGCAGCACAGTCACTTTCACTTTTTGTTTAAAAACCTCATTAAAAAGTGAGGCTTCCCCAGGCCTGCAGGAGGAGGTTGCGCAGAGGGGAAGGGATGAAGCCAGGAAGAGTGCACCCTGGGCCTGGGGTTCAGGGAGCTCAAGCCCAGTGGTTTGAAGACACAAAAGGTGTGTGACAAAGAGCCAGCCAGAGTGAGAGAATCAGAGGCCACCAGATGGAGTGCAGGGAACAAAAGGTGACCAGAAGCTGGCATCCAGGCCCAGAGCTAGGGCTGAGGAACCACACTGCAAGACCCCAGGGGTGGGGCTGGCGAGTCCCTGGGTGGCGGCGGCACCCAGGGAGGTGGCGGCCCAGTGTCCCTAGTTGTCTCAGAGACCCAAAGGCTCCAGGAGTTTTTGCAGCGAGCCTGGGGAAGCTGAATGCCCAGCAAAAAGATGAGCTGAGAAGGTAAAGTGCTGGCATTCACTGAGCTCTGTAGTTGCCTGGCTCCCCTCCTCCCCGTGATGACACCCGAGAGGGCAAGAACTTTCTTTTTTTAATCCCACTCATAAAGGGCCCCTGCTTCATAGTAGACTGGAACCTTGGGGACAGGTCCTATTTGCACTGTCGAAATTCCATGCCCTGCAGCCAGCCAACTCCCGACTGTTTCCCTTTGGTACCCTGGAGTCATACCACATAGGCCAGGTTCTACGGTACAGGATTAGCTGAACCCGTGATCCCTGTCTTGCTCCCCGCTCCTTCCAGATCTGAGAGCTGGTCCCCAAGTCCCAGGCCTGATCCCTGTTTTGCTCCCTCTCTCCTCCTTCCAGATCCGGGAGTTGGTCCCCGAGTCCCAGGCTTACATGGACCTGCTAGCGTTTGAGAGGAAACTGGATCAGACCATCATGCGGAAGCGGGTGGACATCCAGGAGGCTCTGAAGCGGCCCATGAAGGTGCCTTAGTGTGGGGGTAGGAGAGGGCTGTCAGTGCTGGGCCAGGAGGGGCGGCTTTGGGGTATGGAGCCTCTGCTCTGTACTACACTCTGTATCTACAGCAAAAGCGGAAGCTGCGTCTCTACATCTCCAACACTTTCAACCCCGCCAAGCCTGATGCAGAAGACTCCGATGGCAGCATCGCCTCCTGGGAGCTGCGGGTAGAGGGGAAGCTCCTGGATGATGTACGTCCTGGCCCAGGTCTCTCCAGGTGTCTTGGGGTGGGTACGGACTGAGAACTCCCACAGATGTTGGCACAGAGGGTCAGGGAGTTCAGCCATGGCTGCAGTGGACAGTCAGGCTTAGAGAGACATCCTGGGTGCCCCTCGCTATGCTGTGTGCTCACTACTGGCTCAGGCACTCTCCATCCCCACCGGCCCTGTTCCTCTCCCACAGCCCAGCAAACAGAAGCGGAAGTTCTCTTCCTTCTTCAAGAGTTTGGTCATTGAGTTGGACAAGGACCTTTATGGCCCTGACAACCATCTTGTTGAGGTAAGACAGAACTCCCTTCTGTCTTGGTGCTTCCACCCTCCCAAGGGCCCCAGTGCCTGAAGAACTTGCACAGATCTGGGGCAGGGAACACCCTAGACCCCACTGATGCAGGCAGGCCTGCACGTGACCCAGCTCCTTCCCCCCTTGGATAGTGGCATCGGACACCTACAACCCAGGAGACAGATGGGTTCCAGGTGAAGAGGCCAGGAGACCTGAGTGTGCGCTGCACGCTGCTCCTCATGCTGGACTACCAGGTCAGTGCCTGTGCCCACCCTGCAGCCGCCACCCCCCTCCCAAAGCCCTCCTCGGAGACCCCAAGCACCTTGCTCCCTCCCTGCGGTCCCAAACTGCCTGGCTCTGAGCTCTTCCTGTCCTTTCCACAACATTTTCTGTTTGTTTTTAAATAAGATTTATTTATTTTTACTTGCAAGTCAGTTTTAGAGAAAGGAGAGAGAGAAAAGAGAAAGACAGGAAAACCTTCCATCCGTCCACTAGTTCACTACCAAATGGCCACAATGGCCAGAGATGGGCCAGTCCAAAGCTGGGACCTGGGCACTTCTTTTGGGTCTCCCTGCATAAGTGCAGGAGCCCATGGACTTTAGCCATCATGCCTCCATGCCAGTCCTGCTGCCTCCCTTTTGTAAATCTGCTTTTCATTGTGACCCTTTCCCAGCCTCCCCAGTTCAAACTGGACCCTCGCCTGGCCCGGCTGCTGGGGCTGCACACACAGAGTCGCTCGGCCATTGTCCAGGCCCTATGGCAGTACGTGAAAACAAACAGACTGCAGGATTCCCATGACAAGGAGTACATCAACGGGGACAAGTATTTCCAGCAGGTAACCTCCCTCCTGAACCCCGAGGATCTGGGCAGGAGGGGAGTCCCTCTCCTAAGTAAAGCCCAGCCCACCCTGCTCAATGCAGGGTCCTCACTCGTGGTCTTGCAGCCAAGAACGCAGGGTTCTAGCCCAGCTTCTCCCATGGATTAGCTCTGCTCTGCAGCTGCTCCAGTTTAGTCTCCTCTGGGTAGGAGGACCTGGAATCCTACAAGCTTTCTGGAAGACGGAGTTAGGATCCCAAGATCAGGTCCTGGGAATCGATCCTGTGTATGTAGCTTAGCTATTGGGAGCCTTGTTCCTTATCCTTGAAGTTGGACAATGATTCCTGCCCCTCCCCAATCTTTTGGGCAGTTAGGACAATCAAATAACTATCAAAATGTGACCGGTGAGCTTTTATTGATTGGTGCCTTTTAAAATAAACGCAGCAGATGGACGGAGGCATATGAGCAGCAGTGGGCATTTATTAAACACTCACCCCGTGCCAGGCGGCTTTGTTTCCTTTATGGGTGTTCGTTCTCAGAATTCCCATGACAGCCCGGGGAGACAGGGAGCCCTGGTATTCCCATTCCATCGATGAGGACGCTGTGTTGAGTAACTTACTTCAGGTTGCATAGTAAGCGGTGCAAGCAACACTGCGTCCCAGGCGGGCAGCCCCAAGCCCCAGCACAGACCCTGCCATGCTGGTGATGATTGCCACCAGTATGCCTCACCTGGTCCCTCCCCACAAGGGAAGGCTCTCAGACCTAATTCCCATCTCTTTGAGCCCAGCAGTGATCTCTCTCACCCCCACTGCAGATTTTTGATTGTCCCCGACTGAAGTTTTCTGAGATTCCCCAGCGCCTCACAGCCCTGCTGCTGCCCCCTGACCCGATTGTCATCAATCATGTCATCAGGTGAGGCGGCTCCAACTTGCTCCTCAGCCCAGAAATTGGTTCCTTCCCACCTCTTCTCTCTCCCCCCGACCCCTGCCACTCCCGCCCCGTGCCCATCCCAGTCCCTTGGCACCTGCGTGGGTTCAGGGACACCAAGGGCCATGACTTCCCTGGCAGTGTGGACCCGTCAGACCAGAAGAAGACGGCATGCTACGACATTGACGTGGAGGTGGAGGAGCCACTGAAGGGGCAGATGAGCAGCTTCCTCCTGTCCACGGCCAACCAGCAGGAGATCAGCGCCCTGGACAGTAAGGTGGGGCCCAAGGCCAGAGCTGGTGCAGGCCAGGAGACCGCAGAAGCCAGAGCAAGCTGGGAACAGATCAGAGCGGGGGTCTCTTTTGGGTCTCCCTACCTAAGAGAATAAGGGGACACACGGCCGTTCCAGGCTGCTTGGATGGCAACTCCCCCATCCCAAGCTTCACTCCACCACCTCCTCCTTCCCTGGGGCCAGAAAATAAGCCACCTCTCCCTCCCTCCACGCCACAGCCCTCCTCTCCCGTGTCACCAGAGCCAGGTGGAAAGCATCTTGTCTTTCTACCTGTAGATCCATGAGACGATCGAGTCCATAAACCAGCTCAAGATCCAGAGGGACTTCATGCTAAGCTTCTCCAGAGACCCCAAAGGCTACGTCCAGGACCTGTTGCGCTCCCAGAGCCGGGACCTCAAGGTGAGGAGGGAGACCCAGGGAGGACTGCAGTGGAAGATAAGCACATCAGCAGACAGTGACAACAGCCCCCAGGGTGGCACGGCTGACCCCACGCTCCCCCTACCCAGGTGATGACTGATGTTGCTGGGAACCCCGAGGAGGAGCGCCGGGCCGAATTCTATCACCAGCCCTGGTCCCAAGAAGCTGTCAGCCGCTACTTTTACTGCAAGGTACACAGGGGCCCTGCTGCCACAGGCGTCTCCTATGCTCCCTACTGCTCCCCCAGGGGTGACACCTCACCACCCCAACCTCTCCATGCGATGGCCGCCCTGTTTGGGAGGAAGGGGGTATCGGGGTGACCACTCACCCAGGAGGGGAGGGGACGCCATAACCCTGCTCCTGCACTTCCCTAAAGATCCAGCAGCGCAGGCAGGAGCTGGAGCAGTCGCTGGTCGTGCGCAACACCTAGGAGTTCACAGGAAGCACCACTGCAGAACTGCCGGTCACCCGTTCCCCTGGCGCCTGGCCCTGGGTGCCACTCCTCAGCCGCCTCGTGGGGGAATGGGGGGTGGGAGGGACTGGATTAAATGTCATTCACCTGACAGCAGCTGCGTGTGGTCATTGGAAACAGGGAAAGACAAGGAGGGAGGAGGAAGAGACTGGAACTCCCCATGGCCCCGCACCAGATAGTTCTTTCCCCATTGTTCCTAGACCTAAAAACAGCTTGGTAGAAGACACTTTTAATAACATTCTCTTATTTTAAAAAATACAGTGATGAACCCTCCGTCTGTGCACTGGCTGGCTCATCCCGTGCCAGTCCAAGGCTCTATGTGCTGTTGGCCTGTTCCTGCTCAAACAGAGCCATGGCCAGCTGGGCACGGCCCCCCAGCCCTTCCAGGTTGCTGAGGCGACAGCGGTGGTAGAGCTCCTCGCTGAGCCGAGGGCTGCAGTCCCGCACGGAGAACTTCTGCACCAGCCCTGGCTCTACGGCCCGGAAGAGGTGGAGCCCTGAGAACCGGAGGAACACATCCATCACCTCCAGCCCCTCCAGGGCTTCCTCCTCTTCCTGGCCTGCCAGCTCGCCGGCCAGCCGGGCGCGGGCAGCCAGGTAGTCAGCGTTGTAGAAGCAGCCCTCCGCAGATGCTTGCCGGTCAAACCTGCCCCCAACGGGAGCCCCCCGTGAAGGGTCCGCACCAGGTGGGGATGGGGGATCAGGGCCAGCCCCTGGGGGTCCTGGGGGGGACCTCTGTGGGGACAGGGCAGGGTTGAACTCCTGGAAGTGGACTGGGAAGAAGGCCTGCCAGCCAGAGATGGCGTTCATGCGGCAGCGGTTCAGGACTTCTGGTCCAGGCCTCGTCCACACGGTGGTGAGGAAGAAGAGAGTGTCCACGGGGTGCTTCTTGGAGACCACATCCATGAGGCGGACCTGGGAGGGCGCCTCTGCTCGCACAGCAAGCCAGGCCAGCCTCGTCCCAGGAAACCTTCGCTCCAACTCCGCCGCAGTGGCTTTCACCCCCAGGAATGGGTCCGGGGCCCCGCGGCCACCTTCCCGGGGCCCGTAGACCAGCAGCAGTGTGAGCAGTGCGTGCTCCCGTGGCTCCAGGACATTGGCTGCGAAGGCTTCCAGGAAGGCTGGGGCTGCAGCGGCTTCGGCCACCAGGAGAGGCAGCACCAGCTGCACCCGGGTGGCCTCTGTGACATAGGGCATGGGCAGGATCTCCACCCGGCTCAGCGGCCGCAGCAGACTGACCCTGCGGGCCAGGGCCCGTCGATGCCCACGCTGAGTCACAGCTTCCAACAGCAAGTCCAGGGTGTACTCCATGCCGCGTGCAGGATCAAAGCGCCGGTAGCCATTGAGCAGCCGCTGCTTGTGGAAGCGCAGGCGGGGCTGATAGCGCCGGTTGAGCTGTTCCAGGGCGGTGTCCACAGCATCACCCACGTCTGCCCCGCTAGCACCCTGCAGCGGGCACTTGGGAGCCCCGTCTACACAGGAGAAGGAGTGCTGCTCCGTGAAGTAGTCCCAGCCCAGTACCTCGAAGCGGGAGTGAGGTACAAAGGGGGCGGGGAGCCCAACAGGCCAGCTGAGGCCTGCCTCTCCCTCGGGCGTCAGTGCTGTCAGGTTCCGGATCTGAGCCTGCGTGGAAAGCAGCAGGCCTCCTGTTAGTGCCCCTCCGGGACTGGCCTCAGCCCCAGGGGTCCTGGCTCTCGGGTATGGATGGCTAAGCTCTGCCCTCACTCCCTCAGCAGCGAGCGGAAGGGTCTGTGTCTAGCCACGTGCCTAGCATTGCTCATAAAACAATGCAGGAGTATGAGTCCAAGCCACCTTAGACAACTGCTGGCAGGTGGAAGAGACAGACAAGTGCACTTCTGCACAGGTCCCAGTATCCTGAGGCACACAGCTCCACAACCTCTCCTCCCCAGCCCAGGGGAGTCATTTCTCTTCACGTGAATCCCTCACAGACCTCGCTTTGCAGTCACACTCAAACCTCTGACGGCCTCCACATCCAGCTATGTCATCCCTTACTCTCCACCCGTGGGCTTGTGTAGCACAGGCCTAGAAGTAAATGGACTTCTGGGTATGTGCCTCCTGACTAGACAGGGGCAAAAAACCGACCAACTTCTGCAGTCTCAGAGCTTGGCCTCATCCCTGCCACGATGTTGGATGAGGGAAGGCCAGCCTGTCCTTTCCCTGCCGTCAGAGGAGGCCAGCGCAGCCGCCCCCACCCTGCTTGCCACTCACTCTATACATGGACATCTCGGGTTCCCTCAGACCCTGGGACCCTGGTCCCTGGAAACCCACTTTCTCTTTCACTTACCTGCAGTTGTTCGATTTCACTGTAGGCCCGCTCCAACTCCAAGGCACTGAAGCGTTTGTGGAGCCGGTACATGAGGGTCCCGTCGGAAACGGGGTGCACAGCGAAGGCGCTCAGGAAGGCTGGACTCCCCTCCTTCTCGGGGTCCCTGTTTTTGGCCAGTTCGAATGAGTGATACTGCTGTCCCTGGAGGGAGCAATCAGCAGTCAGTGCCACACTCAGACTTGGCCTTCCCTGCCCTCCACACCCACACCTGCTGCCGGGGGTTTAGAATGAAGAATGAGAAGAGGAGATGCTGTTGGCATCTCACTTGACCCCAGTTCTTGCTCTCACTGCCTACATCTTAGAAAGGCAGAAACAAGTAGGCAACTGAGGGTAGCCTAACCCACCAGAGGATGGCACGAGCCAGACACACCTCTCTACCAGCACTCTGACGGGTCTGCCCTTCCCCAGGACAGCAAACAGGGTGGCCTGTGGGCAGGAGTGGTTTCACCTTATACCCTGGGGAGTGTCCGTGACTGGTGTGAATGAGGAAGGGGAGGGAATCATGGAATGGAGGGAGAACTGCTAAGAAGGGACAACTTTCTGACTTGCTCAGGGGCTCCCCAGGGCTTTAGGATCACCAAGGTTGGGGCCAGCATTGTGGTGTAGCGGATGACCCTGCCACCTACAGCACCGGCATCCCATTTATGAATACTGACTCACATTCTGGCTGCTCTGTTTCTGATCCAGCTCCTTACTAACACACTTGTAAAAGCAGTGGAAGATGGCCCAAGTGCTTGGGTCCCTATACCCACATGGGACACCCGGATGAAGCACTTGGCTCCTGGCTTCAGCCTGGCCTGGCCCTGACTATTGCAGCTATTTGAGGAGTGAACCCACAGATAGAAGACCTCTCTCTGTAACTCTGCCTTTCAAATAAATAAATCTTACAAGTCATGGGAGTTGAGCAGGTGTTCCCAGGTTATGGCATAGTGGCTAGGTAGGGCAACATGACAGCCACTGGCTTCCAGCCTAGGGACTAATCACTCAGTCACCACTGACTTGGCAGGGACTGGAAGGCTAGACTGGAAGGGACTGACTTAAAAGAGCTGTCACCTGGTGCTGCGAGACACAGCCGACACCCAGCGAGTCGATGAGACAGCGGCCGAGCCACTCGTCCGGGCGAGCACTGAGGATGTCCCCCCGACAGCCATCCAGATGTGGCCGCAAGCGCAGCAGCAGGCTCCGGGACAGCAGGTAACCGAAACCCCCATGGCAGTACCGGGCCTGCTCTCCTGCACCAATGAACTCCTCGGCCCGGCCCAAGTACAGGTCTTGATTGATGCTGAGGTGGCCGGCCAGGGCTGCCAGGCGGGGTGCCTGCACATACGTGTCATCCTGCATGATGAAGAACCAATCGTAGTCGGCCCCAAAGTGTGTGTGAAGGTGGCGCAGGGTCTCTGACATGAGCCAGGCTGGCCGCTCGTCCCCATGAGAGACGACCTGCATTCCAGGTGGAGCCCGGGCCCCTCGCTGTCCAGTGAAGTAGAGTAACCGAGGGAAGTGGTGAGCCACTGTGCGGTTCACAGCTACAGCCAGCGTGGACAGTGTGGCCCGGGAAGTGAGGACAGCCACCAGCAACCGCTCTCGAGAGCCCAGCTCGGTCTGGATGTACCGAGTCCTGTGGAGAGATGAGTGTGTGGGCAGTTAGGATCCCAGTAGACCCGGCTCACACAGCCCTCCGGGAATTGGGGAGTTGGGGCTTGAGAAAACAGAAGACACCCTCTTCCTCATCTGTATTCATTAGCCCCTGTAGTAAGTATCCACTGAGAGGCTGACCCTGGAACAGATCTGAGGAGGAGGAGGCCTCCTAGGCGCTGGCTGTGTGGGCACTCTGCAGCTTCCTACCCTGTTATAAACTAGACATGGGGTGGGTGCTGTGATGCAGCAGGCTAAGCCCCTGCTTGTGATGCCAACATCTTACTTCAGAACGCTGGTTCACGGCCTGGCTGCTTCCTGCTAAGGCACTGGGAAAGCAGCAGAAGATGGTCCAAGTACTTGGGCCCCTGTCATCCACATGGAAAACCTGGATGGAATTCTGGTCTGATTTTGGCCTGAATCAGCTCTATTTTTTGTTACTGTTGTTGTTTTTGTTTTTAAATATTTATTTATTTTTATTAGAAAGGCAGATCAGATTTTATGGAGAGAAGGAGAGACATTCGCTGGTTCACTACTCAAATGGCCACAACAGCTGGAGCTGAGCTGATCCAAAACCAGCAGCCAGGAGCTTCTTCCAGGTCTCCCACGTGGGTGCAGAGTTCCAAGGTTTTGGGTCATCCTCTACTGCTTTCCCAGGCCGAGGCAAGGAGCTACATGGGAAGTGGAGCAGCTGGGACACACCAGCAACTATAGAGGATCCTGGTACTTGCAAGGTGAGGATTCAACCATTTAGCAATCACACTGGGCCCAAATAAATACATTTTTTAAAATACCCTAAATATTCATTTAGCAACAATGGATTAGTTTTCTTTAGACCTGAGGAGAGACAAAACAGGAAGCATGATGGAAAACAAGACAAAGAGCTACTCCAAGGAAACTAATACTGACACGGAAAGACAGAGCAAAGCCTTATAGCAGCCCTGAGCCGACGGCCCCTGGCAGCCAGCTTCTTACCTGAGCACCTTCTTGTAGGGTTTGCTGGGATCCCTGGAGTAGGGGATAATGCGGGGTTTGAAGTCCTCATCGTTTTGGTCCAGCCAAGTCCTTGAGTCTCGATTCTGTGGCCCCGCTGGCTCCCCCACAGCCTCTAAACAGGGATCCTCTCCCTCACCCTGGATCCAGGAGACGCGCAAGAGGCTCAGGCTGCAGCCCAAGGAGAGCCCCAGGATAAGGGGCAGGGCTGGACGCAGCAGAGCCAGCAACGAGCTCAGCCGCATGGTGGGGGGACCTGCCCTTCGGGTGCCCTGGGGGGCAGAGCCTCAAGGAAGAGCAGGCAGATGGATACTAGGTCAACAGACAGCATGCAGTTTTACCCAGGGAACCTGGGGTTCCTGAGGGCCACACCAGAGCCAGCTGGGCCCAGCATGCCAGGGAGATGGAGCTCCCGGTCTCCGCAAGACCCTTAGCCCCAACAGCAATAAATACGACAGTGACGTCACCCACACGGCCAGAGAAGGGAGGAAGCAAGACTGGGTGCTGCTGAATCCAGTGCAAGAAGAACTGCACACAACCGGAGATTGGGTCTATGACCGGAGGATAGACAAGGGTTTAGGGAAAAGCATATGATCCACCGAAAGAATAGCTCCTGTCCAGAGGAGCCTGCCTGCCTGGGCCTCAGTTGAAGGAAGCCCCTGGTCCAGCCACCCACTCACTGCGCTCGGCTCTCAGGATGGTCAGGAGGACAGCATGGTGCCAGCCAGCAGCAGTGAGGAGCCGCTGGCACGATGCATACAGCTCTGCCCACCCACAGGTGGGGGGTGGGGGTGACAGAGACGGTGACTCAGCGGCGATGGCTTCTCAGAGCAGCTATGGCTGATGCAGCCATTTTGCAAGACATCCGCTGAGCGGCTGCGCAGCCCACCTTGGTGGGGGCAGTGAGGGACGACAGGCAAATGACAGTCCGGTGTGCGCGAGCCAGCGACCTGGGGTCTGGGCTCCCCTCCCCCCCGGGTCCCCAGAACCAAGCAAACCCACCCGCAAAGCACACGCGGCCACAAGGGATGGCGCAGGAATTCCACAGAACAAGTGCGTAAGGCTCGGCCTGTCCTGCGCTATCCTTCAGCGATCAGAAGCCCAGGCTGACCCTAGGAGGAAGGCCCTAGAACTTTTGCGGCTGTTTGTGATGTCCAAACAGAAATAAATGGGCTATGCCGCGGGGCTGCAAAGGAAGGGGGCGGAGGGGGCAGCTTGGCGTCTCCCGACTGGGGTCGGGACAGGCAGCACGGAGGTGGTGGCTGAAATAGGGAAGGGCAGAGACGGCACCAGTGCCGCACCGAGGCAGAGGTGCGGGGCGGGGAGGGACGCCCAAACGCCCACGGGGAGCAAGACTGGGAACCTACTAGGCCGGACGCAGGGCAGCGGAGACCCCGAGAGGGGCAGCTCGGGTACTAGGGGACGGCGCCTGTAAGCGCCTGGACGGGTCAGGGACGGGAGAAGGGGGAACAGACCCCAATGCCCAAGGAAGCGCCGGCTCCGTCGCTGCAGTCGCTGCCACCTCACAGCCCCTGCCCCGCTGCTTCCTCTTCCGCCCTTGTCAGTCACTTGGTCTCTATGGTGACCGCATCCGGCCGCTCGCTCTGCTCGCGCATGCTCTCTATGGTCCCTCCCTGCACATTCACCTTGCAGGACAACGTGGACAACCTGAGTCCGGGCCACCAGCCTCCCGGAGATCGCCAGCGCGCATCCTACAGGACCTACACGCCCTTTCAGCTCACTCCATCGCCCCGGGGATGATGGGGGGAAGGGGATACTCTGCACTTCTCCCAGTCGGCTTTGCCAGCCCAGCAGGCATTCAGTTGATTAAGAAACACGCGTTTACCTGCTAAGTGCCTAATGAATACTGGGTGAGCAAGTGAAAGACTAGACGGAGATGGCCCCTCACTTCTGAGAGCTGAGAGATGCAGAAGTCAACAGAGAAATTAAACAAGCAGAATTAAATCAGATTGGGAATTTAAGGCATGCTAGGAAGGAAAATATTAGCGAGAATCATTCAGGCCAGGAAAAGAGCATCTGAAGGCATTGAGGGCAGAGACTGGCACAGAGAAAAACTTTGCTAGACCATGACAGGTAGGACCTGCTGACGGGAGAACAGCCACAGGTAGACTGGACCTCAGGCGTCCACAGGGGTCTCCCAAGATGGAGCCAGCACTCTGGAACAATTTGTCAAATCAGCGGAAAATGTGGAGAGTATGTGGATCCTAAGATCTCACACACTGCAAGACAGTACCACACATGAAAATTGTCTGCCCCAGTGCTACACAACCCTCAGGTGTCCAATAGAACAAACACATGGGCGGAAAAGCACTATAGTTGTCTGACCCAAGATTGCACGTGGTTCTGTATGGCAATTTTCTGAGTCATTCACTGTTTTAGCGAATATATCAATGATAGTGATGGCACTCCTTGCATTCAGTGTGTATCCGTAATGTCATCTTTGAAGTGGTTTCACATACAGGTGCAAGCTTCAGTGTATTCTGGCATGCTGAGGAAGCATTATTTTTATTATAGTTTCTTTCATTTCTTCTTTGTGTTGTGGTTAACATACTATAAGCTTCTGAAATTATGTGTGTGATTAGGTTATATCATCTATGAAGTTCAGGGCCCATCACGATAGCTCGACTGGGGCACCAGGATCCTATTAGGGCGCTGGTTTGTGTCCCAGATGCTCCACTTCCCATCCAGCTTCCTGCTGGTGGTCTGGGAAAGCAATTGAGGATGGCCCAGAGCCTTGGAATCCTGTACCGGCGTGGGAGACCCAGAAGAAGCTCATTTCCTGGCTTCAGATCGGCTCAGCTCTATAGCCATTGCAGCCACTTGGAGAGTGAACCAGCACATGGAAGATCTTTCTCCTCTTTATAAATCTGTCTTTCCAATAAAAATAAATAAATCTGGATTAGGTCCTCAGCTCCGCCCTGCCGCCACCACCTTGTGACAGGAGGAGCCTAGAGGGTGTTCGGCCATGAGGCTTGGGTGAAGGGAGCCCTCAGTAGCGTGGCAGCTGATGGGGGTACCTGAGCCAGGTCAGACTCAATGTTTGACACTCTGGCCATAGGCACTGCTGCCACACAGTGAGCAAGTCCTGGGCTTTGGGTGGCCAGCAGGCAGAGTCTGATTCTACTTGGTGTGCTGACCGCACAGCGGCGAGCTCTAGTGTTTTGGGGCTATATAATTGCTGCCTAGGGATATCTGTGGATAAGGCCAATATGCATGTAGGTGAGGAATGAATCCTGTGTGGCTCACAGCGACAAGGTCACTGAACTTGAAGGCAAGCATGATGTCTGAGACCTGGTGGTTTGGAGGGGAGAGTCCGTAAGATCTGTTTGTGTCAGACTGACTCACCAGATCACATGGTGTAGAAGGACACTGTGTTTTGTAGAAGGATAGCAAACGTAGGATAACAATTGATAGGATATCATTTGTATGAGAACATCTGATTGAATATCACTTGAATGAGGACACTTGATTGGATATACAAAACAAAAAGATAGTTTCAAACAAGGGTGTAGAAACAATTGACGGGTTCCTTAGAAAGTTTTTTTTTTTAAGGTTGTGCCCCTCCCCAATCCCATTCACTGCCCAATGAGGGCAGTGGGTGGGCCCCGGACCTGCCCAGTCATGGAGACCTCCCCCCTCAGTGTACTCACCCTGAAGGGAGCAGCCCCCCCCAGCCCAGGCAGGCCCAGGGACAGCTCACCACGTGCACATGGTGGCTGTCGTCTGAGATCCAGGCATGAGACGCCCTGTCCTGAGACCCACCTTCCTTAGAAAGTTTTATGGGAACTACATAAGCTCCTCAATACCTCCTTCCTTATCCTATGTGAGCCTCAGTCTATAAAAGTCTGATGCCATTAATAAACTTCAGCTATCTTGTCAGGACAGTAGTCTACACATGTTATTATAGGCTCTATGTACTAAGGCCATCATTGCAGGACAGTAAACAACATGGAAGTCCTGAGATGGGCTGTGAGCACAGAACATCACTGATTGCCACATGCCAGCCCACATGAAAGCTATGGCTGGGGGCCTGTCTGGCAGGGTTAGATCTCAGTACCTGACTGTCAGAACAGGGGATAGATCACATTAGGCAGGGTCATGACACTAATCAGCACACAAGAGAACCAGGTCTGGGGGTAGATTCTGCGAAAGATAAGTGGGCCCAACCCAGTGGAAATACAAATCCCACTGGTTAACCTAATAGTTGGGGTGGTGATGGGCTGAGCTAGGAGTGATCATGGAACCTGCCAACACTCATGGGTGCTGCGGCTGAAACCAGCATGGGCAGGTCAAGGCAGTAGCATCCGCACATGCATCCTAAAACAGGGTGTGAGGCAGGCTGAAACATCCTCCAGCTCATACAAAGGCCAAGATGGAGTGGTAGACTATGCTGGGCAAGGGCCTAGCAGCTGCTGGAGCATGTGAGATCTGAGTCAGGAAGTGGGCCAAGTGGGGAAACTTGGGAAACCCCTACTGGGGGTCACGGCTCCTGCTGGTAAGAACATGTTCCAGGTGAGATTCATTTTAGTATTTTATTATACTGTTTGAAATGTCCAGAAGCAGGCAATTGGCCTAGAGGTTGAGACCCCCACTTCCCACAACAGAATACCTGGATTCTAGTTCCAGTTCCAACTCCTGACTCCATCTTCCTGCCAGAACAGGCACTAGCAGGCAGCAGTGATGGCCTGCGTCCTTAGAACCCTGCCATTCACCTGGATTGCAGACCCAACTTCTGGCTTTGGTTCTAAACCAGTTCTGGCTGTTGTAGGCACTGGGCAAAGTGAGCCACAAAACAGGAACACTCTCTCACGCACAAATAAACAACAATCATTTGAATATGTAATCAATATAAAAATTATTGATGAGGTATTTTACATTTTTCCCAGTCCAGTTTTTATACTTACAGCACATCTCAATTCAGAGTGTCCATATGAGGCTGGATATCATACCAAAGGACAGTGTTCCACCTCGTTCATAAGTTTCTAGTTGATTTTGTTGTTTATTTATTTATTCTTTAAAAATTTTTTTCGTAAGTGATTTTGAATGAAACATTTCTTTTCCCAGACCTCAGTTTCTTCATATTTTAGAGACTAAACCAAATGTTCTTGCTTCCAATACTGATCTTCTGCAATTATTTCAAATTTACCCAATCCTTTTCTTCTCTCTCTCTACTCACCTCTGTTTCTCCCTTCCATTTCTTCATTCCTCTTTCTCCATTTGTTTTTTCACCTATTTCATTTGAAGGACTGGCAGAGGTTATGCTTATCTGCTGGCTCACTTCCCAAATACCTGGTACAACCCAGGTTGGCAAGGTTAAAGACAAGAAGTTGGAACCTCAATCCAGTTCCTCCGCATGGGTGACGAGGACCAAACTACTTGAGCCATCATCTGCTGCTTCCCAGTACGCTTTGGTAGGAAGCTAGAATTAGAAGTAGAGTCAGGTTCTTGAACTTGCGCACTTTGATATGAAATGTGGGCATCCAGCATGGTTTCTTAACTACTCAACCAAACGCATACCTCTCTTTTTAATTTTTTCATCCACAGTTATTTCCCATTCAAGAGATCTAAACCTGGGAGGGTAGGAACAACAGAATTCTCAAGTAGCAACAAGTGTGCTAAGCTACACACACCTTGCTGAGGATGCCTCTGCCCACTGTTCTTTCATAGGAAATCATAGACATGATCGGCTGCAAGACAGGTGAATTTTAAGTGACTTCTTGGTCTTTGCCGTCCTGAGCCATTTTGCAGAGCTGGAGCTCTGGAATCAGAAACTCCTGAAATCTTACTGCTGTCTCTCTTTTTTTTAAGATTTATTTTATTTTTATTGGAAAGTTAAGATATACAGAGAGGAAGATCTTCCGTCCGATGATTCACTCCCCATGTGGCTGTACCAGCCAGAGCTAAGCCGATCCAAAGCCAGGAGCCTCCTCCAGGTCTCCCACACGGGTGCAGGAGCCCTAGGCTTTGGACCATTCTCGACTGTTTTCCCAGGCCACAAGCAGGGAACTGGATGGAAAGTGGAGCTGCCGGAATTAGAACCAATGCCCATATGGGATCCTGGCACGTTCAAGGCAAGGATTTTAACTGCTGTGCTATCACGCCAGGCCCTCAGTGCTGTCTCTTACCACAGTATTGTGGTATTCATAACTCAAGAGACGTTGTTTTCTGTTCCTTCTATAAGATGGATCATGATACCAACCTCAAAGTTTGTGGAAGAAATGTGATGGCATAAGGGAAAGAGCAGAATAAATGTGATTGTTCTCTATAACATTTCACCAGCCTGTAGCACACATTTAATTGAAGCTAAAACAGGGATGCATTTTGTAGATAATGCTCCTGGGAGGCTCAAGGACCTGGATTTGTGATTTGTATCTAACCCACAGGGAGTTTCCCACTTAGGTACCCCAGCAACACAGCCAAGTCACTGCTCCTGGTAGCCCCTGAATGTCATATTCTGTTCCCTCTGTGGAAGCTTCTTCTTCGTTATAAGCTCCCAAAGGTCAAAGTAAGACTTGTCACCATTGTAACTGCAGTGTTCATCTTGGAGCCTGATGAATGCTAGGCCCTTAATTGGTGGAGGGTATACAGAACAATGGCTGACCTTGGGAGCAAAACTACTTCATTATAAAGAATCAAGCCTGTCTTTGTGAAGATTTATTTGTTTATTTTAAAGGCAGAGTCACAGAGAGAGAGTGAGAAACACAGAGATCTTTTGTCTGCTGGTTCACTCCCCAAATGGCTTTAATGACCGGAGCTGGGCCCGTTTGAAGCCAGGAGACTGGAGCTTCTTCCAGATCTCCCAACCTGGCTGCAGAGGCCCAAGGACTTGGACTATTTTTTTGCTGCTTTGCCAGGCACAGCCTTAGGCAGCTGCATGAGAAGTGGAGTCAACCCAGTGCCCAGAAGGGATGCTGAAAGTGTAAGCAGGTGCTTTTCCAGCTACACCATAGCACCAGCCCCTTTGTTTTCTTTTCGAGTGACAGGATCAAGGGCTGGAAGTATCACTTTTAGAGGATCTGTTCCGAGGGAATTCCAGGTTCCTTTGCTGGCTTCCAGTGTTACTGATGGTGAGGCATCGCTGATCAGAGAAGCAGCAACAAGAATCACAGAAGGTCTGCTTTGGAGTTGAGGCTACAAACGTAGGATTTGCTATGTATGTGAAACTACGACTTAAAAAAAAAAAAAAAAAGCTTTTATTCCCAAGCACAGAGAAACAGAAATCTTCCACCTGCTGGTTCCCTCAAATCTCTACAGCAGCCAGGTGGGCCAGGTAAATGTCAGGAGCCCTGCCTTCCACACGCATCACCTGCACATTAGCAAGAAGCTGGATCACAAGCGGAGCCAGGACTCTCACCCGCCACCGCAAGGTGAAACAGGATCTTAACTGCTGTGCCAGGCTCCGAACCCTTGAGATGAACCTGTGAGACCCAAAAGACAGGTAAATCAAGTGGCTGACTGATGTTGCAGAGGGATTGCCATGGAAAACTAACAATTCTGGAGTTAAGACTCCAGAACGCTATCTGGCACCTTCTGAAAGTTGGGTGAATGGATTCATCCTAAGGCTTCAATCTCACGAAGCGAGGATGCCTTTCAGCTGCGTATCTTCTCGGCCGGGTGCTCTTCATCTGGCCTCCTCACTCTTAACCCTCCTGCTACCTTCACCCAGTCTGTCCTATTGTTTCGACCCATTCCCGCCTGGTGCACTCTGGGAAACGTAGTCGCACGCCCTGCCTCAGCCGGTAGGGTAGCCCGGTAAACTCCATCTCCACAAAGCTCCATTGATATTTTTTCGAGGGTGGGATAAAGCCTAGGATGTCCAGCCCGCTTATTCGAAGGGTAACCTGGGATTTGCAGTTTCCAGCGCCTGAGGCGGTCGGTAGCTGAGAGGATCCGACTCTAACCCCGCCCCTCCTCAAGATCGCGCATCCTGATGACATTCGTGGTAGCGCAAGGACTCTGGGATATGTAGTAGTTCTCGAAGCCTAGCCCAACCTTAGCCATTGCGACTTGAGGACTACAGTTCCCAGGATTCCGCGCGGCGGCGCGCTGTGAGCCAATCGAGGCGGTGATTGGCTCGTGAGCCGGCCGCATGCGGAGGAGCTCAAGGAGCCGCTCTGTTGCGACAGAGGCCGAGCAGCGAGGCCCAGTGAGTTGGGGAAAGAAGCGCTTTTCGGGGGAGGGTGCCGGCCGGTGAGGGAGCGGGAGGAAGAGACGGGGAAGAAGGACAGGGACGGGATGGAGAAGACCGCGAGGGAAAAGAGAGGGCCAAGAGAGAGAAGCTGATGGGTGTAGGGGCAGATCTGGGGGTGGCGACTAGGGAGTCTGTAAGGGGGCTCATCAGGGGCAGGGAGGCCGATCTGGCACGGGGAGAAGCTGGGTCCGCCAGCCAGGATGACAGGGACGACGCAGAGAAGACGCCCCCTCCCCCCCACTGGCGAGAAGAGAAAGCTGGGAAGTGAGGTGGCTGGAGTGCGAAGTGCCAAGACTTGGGGTAACCGGAGAAGGGGACCTTTACCGAGGGACCGAGCCTGGTCGCTAAGTGGAAGCCCTGGGAGGAAGGAGCGTTCCCGAAGTGATGCCGGCCATGGAGAGCGGTGGACGGAGCCCGGGGTGGAGGGAGAGCCGGGCAGGATTCGGAACTGGCCAGGTTGGGAGGAAGGAGGCTTGATAGGAAAATGCCCGGAATGATGGGGCTAGATGCAGACGTTCTTACCAGGAGGTAGAGTTTGAGGGTGTTTGTTTGCCTTCTTTCAGGCTCCCTGAAAGAAGAGAAAGCCACCCCTGTAGTTCAGCACCATGCCCTCTGACCTGGCCAAGAAGAAAGCGGCCAAAAAGAAAGAAGCAGCCAAAGCGCGACAGCGGCCCAAGAAGGGACACGAAGAGAACGGAGATGCCGTCACCGAGCCGCAGGTGGCAGAGGAGAAGAGCGAGGAGGCCAACGGCCGGGAGAGCACAGGTGAATAGAGGGCAGGGTGCCTAGAATGAGCTGTGCCCCGGCCAGAGCCCGCCCCGAGAGTTCTGGGGCCTTGGAGAGCGTGTGTGGAGCTATGGAACCGTAGAGGTGGAGTTGATGCAGCCCCCGGAGTGCCAGTGAAGGAGCCAGAGCTCCAAGTTCTCCGGCAGCAGAGAGTCCTGAGTGTCTCAGACTCTGCTGCATTCCTTACACCCCCTTCCTCGCTGGGACAGTGACCATAGCAACAGGAGAGTAACCTCTCAATTATGATGTGGGTATTTCCTCTCCCAGAAAACACTCAAGCTGTTATTTTAGGAAATATCTGTTGAGCATGTCTCAAGGGCTATACACTAAGGCCTTACAAACTCAGTCTGCCCTCTGATAACTTAACCAGTCTAGATGAAGAAACATAGCAGTGTGTGACAGAGAATATTCCAGACCTTCCCCACCCCCCCGAGTCTAGCTCCCTGACCATATATGCTCCGTCCAGACTGCCCATCGTCCCTTGAGGAGTCACCACCGCACTTCCTGGCATTTCCCCTGTTGAGTTCTGCGACCATGGCGGCGGTTGACATTCAAGGTCCAGCTCAAGTCAGCAGAGCTCTGAGTCAGACCTAATCCAGGCTTTGCATTCACTGTCCTCCTTCCTGGGGTGTTCTAGACCTTTCATGTTCTGGTTTGTTTCTTCAACTAGTGTGTTTAATCTCTGAGTGCAGGTACTAGGACATGGGAGATTGTTTGCTGTGATCTCTCATAGATACTAAGGAAATGTTTGAAGAGGAAAGAATAATTAGTGATAGAAATTATAACAGACAAGAAGTCAGAAAAAAGGAAAGTTAGAAAGATGTTTGTGAGGCCAGTGGAGTGGTAGAAATTAGCTCCAAGGTAAGAATTCTTAGGAAAGATAACATGATGAGGTCAGGTCAAGGGGCAGTTTTAGGTCATGGTCGGAATGCTGAAGAATGATAAGTTATGAATGATGGAAGTGAATGGGATGTGACAGGACAAGACAAGGGAAAGGGAGATTTAGGATTTAAATGATAAACCGCAAAGGAAAAGCCCTCAGGGCAGGCTTGTGGCACCATACGTTTAGTTTAAGGCTTGTGCAGCACACAGCTCCACTCAGCGCTACCTGGGCCCACGCCCTTTAGAACTCACCTCTGTGTGTAAGAACTACCCCAGTTGTTGTGTCTCAGTCCCCCCCATCCCAAGCTGCTTTTCTGTCCCCAGAAGTGGATTTACTGACCAAGGAGCTGGAAGACTTTGAGATGAAGAAGGCTGCTGCTCGAGCTGTCACTGGGGTCCTGGCCTCTCACCCCAACAGTACCGACGTCCACATCATCAACTTGTCCCTCACCTTCCACGGCCAAGAGCTGCTCAGTGACACCAAACTGGAGTTAAACTCAGGCCGCCGGTACGGCCTCATCGGCTTAAATGGAATTGGTGAGGCTCTTGGTGGGAGAGGTGGGGAGGAAGCCCCTGGCTCCTCTGTCACTCAGTCCCCGCTGCGGGCACAGCAAGGTGTTGGTAATGTAGGTGGGAGACGTGCCAGATGTGTCCAGGGAAAAGGCGCTAGCAGGACAGAGCAGCATGCAGTGAGCCCCACAGGAGTAATCGCAGACAGGAGGTGCGGGAGTAGGCGCTGGGAGGGGTAGTAGTGTGTGAAGCTGCTGTAAATGAAAAAGGCTTCATGGAGAAGGATGCGAAGAACCAGAAGAAAGGTTGGAATGGTATCCCAAGAGTGGGGTCAGTGAGATTAGGGTGAGTGAAGGGAAGGGGCACTCCGGAAGTGGCAGCCCCCATTTCAGGGACTGGGGGGAGCTGGCTCAGCGGCCTCTCCTGCCCCGTCCCAGGGAAGTCCATGCTGCTGTCTGCCATCGGGAAGCGGGAGGTGCCCATCCCGGAGCACATCGACATCTATCACCTGACCCGAGAGATGCCCCCCAGCGACAAGACCCCCCTGCAGTGCGTCATGGAGGTGGACACAGAGCGGGCCATGCTGGAGCGGGAGGCCGAGCGCTTAGCTCACGAGGACGGTAGGGCCCCGCACCCGGGCCTGGGGTGCAGTGGTCATCTCCAGGGGTGAGCCCCAGGGATCCTCACAGGCCTCCGCTGCCCGCATCCTGGGCTTGAGGGGTGCAGCAGGCATACCGGGGGGCAAGCCACAGGAGCCTCACAGGACCCACCTGCCCACAGCCTGGGCCTGGGGGGCTGCAGCAGGCGTCCCCAGGGGCAAACCTCAGGAGCCTCACAGGCCCCCACTGCCCGCAGCCGAGTGTGAGAAGCTCCTGGAGCTGTACGAGCGCCTAGAGGAGCTGGACGCTGACAAGGCCGAGATGCGGGCCTCGCGGATCTTACACGGCCTGGGCTTCACACCTGCCATGCAGCGCAAGAAACTGAAGGACTTCAGTGGCGGCTGGCGGATGCGGGTTGCCCTCGCCAGGTGAGTCCCTCGCTCCTCTCCCACTCCTCGCAGCTCCCCCTGCCAGGACTGAGTGTTGGTGCCTGCCACTTCCCGGCAGCAGGAGATGCAATCAGTGGGGATCGGAGATGGGTGGATGGGAGTGAGGAGACAGATGGCTGGGGAGTGAGCTTCCTGCCTGAAGCAGCTGTGACTCAGTGTAGAGTCCCAGCCCAGGAGTTAGGAACCCCGTGGGAAGTTTTCCTAACAGCACTAGGGAAAGTGGTGGGGGTTAAGTTTGCTGCTTTTCTCACTTTCCCACCTTTTTTTGTGTGAAGGTGCCACTAATTCTTGCTACACTGAAAGGCTGGACAGCTTACCCAAAGCAGATTTCTCTAGAGCAACTATTCTGTTAGTTAATTCCTTACCCCAGTTTCTCCTCAAAGTGAATGATACAACTTAATCTAATACAACCTGTCTACTGATTAGGAAGTAGCCAATATAGCTTTTTAAGTTTGATTTGTTTGAAAAGCAGCAGGAGGGCCCGGCGCGGTGGCGCAAGTGGTTAAGTCCTCGCCTTGCACGCCCGGGATCCCATATGGGCGCCGGTTCTAATCCCGGCAGCCCCGCTTCCCTTCCAGCTCCCTGCCTGTGGCCTGGGAAAGCAGTTGAGGACGGCCCAAAGCTTTGGGACCCTGCACCCGCGTGGGAGACCCGGAAGAGGCTCCTGGCTTCGGATCGGCATAGTATCGGCCCGTTGCGGCTCACTTGGGGAGTGAATCATCGGATGGAAGATCTTCCTCTCTGTCTCTCCTCTCTGTATATCCGCCTTTCCAATAAAAAATAATAAAAATAAATCTTTAAAAAAAAAAAAAAAAAAAAAAAAAGAAAAGCAGCAGGAGAGAGAGATCTTCCATGTACTGGTTTACCTTCCAAATGGCTGCTACAGCCAGGGCTGGGCCATGTGGAAGCCAGGAGCCAGGAACTCCATTGTGGTCTTCCTTGGGGTTGGCAGTTGGTCTGCCTTCTGCTACTTTTCCAGGCACATTAACAGAAAATTGGATCGGAAGCATAGCAACGAGGTCTCAGACAAGCACTGCAGTATGGGATTCTGGTGTGGCCAGACCCTTGTGTGTGTCCTAGAACATGGGAGTAGTCATTCTACATGCCAGCAAGAATTAACTCCCTTCTGATTCACCTGGGGGCTTTGGAGAGCACGGCTCCCAACCTCTGTGTCAGATCCACGTGGGCACTAGGGGCTCAGGAATCTTGTTGATAACAAGTTCCTGTAGGTATAGTGCTATCAGGCTTGGGAACCAGAATCTACAGTTGGCTCTCTTGTTCCCCCAGTTGAAGGAAAAAACACTCTTTGGTCTGCTTGCTGGAGACTGATACCCCAGCAGAAAGAGCTGCCACGTACACTGTCCCCTGGGAGTTACTCCCTCTGCAGCCTTTGTCTTGGTGCTGGAGACCCACACCAGTGTCCAGGCCTCACGGACTCAAGGACTTACGGTTTTATATCCAAACTATAGTTCTCTGGGTCTGAGCTGTCTTTTGTCCTTTTAATATCTGCTCTTTCTTTCTTTCTTTCTTTCTTTTTTTCTTTTTTTTTTTTTTTCCTAAAGCTTATTTATTTGAAAGGCAGAAAGAAAGACTGCCCTAATGGCTGCAGTGGCCAGTGCTAGGCCAGCAAAAAGCCTGGACTACTTCTGGGTCTCATGTGTGTTTGGGCCCAAGGATGTGAGCCATCCTCTGCTGCTTTCCCAAGCCATAAGCAGAGAGCTGAATCAGAAGTAGAGTAGCCAGGACTTGATGCTGGCACCACAGGCAGCAGCTTTACCTTCTGCGCTAGCCCCTGACCTCTGCTCTTAAGTGCTGCTTTCTCACCTGTCTTTCCCCGTTACTTTGAGGTTTTGAACCTAGGGTTGATAGCGGGACTAGCCAGGCCTGGTGGGAACTGCAGAACAGGCATTCAGCCCCTTTCGTGCAGTCCCTGTGTTGCTGAAGGGCCTGTGTCCTGACCTGTCCTGCAGAGCCCTCTTTATCCGGCCCTTCATGCTGCTTCTGGATGAGCCCACCAACCACCTGGACCTGGATGCTTGTGTGTGGTTGGAAGAAGAACTGAAGACGTAAGGGAGCGTTGGAGGAGATGGGGGCGGGCAGGTCTGGAAGGGGAAGTCCAGCCGAGTCCACAGGAAAGGGTACAGCAGCGAGAAAACGAACTGCAGGAAGACATGATGGGGCTTTGTGGCCGAGGGAGTCAGCCTATTGGTGTATTTTCAGTGCCTTGATGATCCAAAAGGAAAGTGGGGTGATGTTTTAGTGTGTTCCAGCTTTTCCCACACACGGTTGGAGATGCATTTATGGGTGTGTTTGTTTATGCATACTGCCCTCCACTGTGTTCTGTTGAAAATCAGAGCAGAAGATTAAGGACTCCTGAGCATCTCAGCACACTTTGTAAGCCATGCAGAACTCACAGATGAGTTGTGCAGCACATAAATGATTGCTGACAGTGAGGAACTGGGCGGGACATGCAAAGGAGGGTGCTAGGTATAAGGTGGGAAAGGGTTCCCTATGCACCTGTTAGCAGCTGTCTCCCCGCTTGGAGCGCCTTCTGATTAGGTTCTGTCTTTGCAGCTTTAAGCGCATCCTCGTGCTCGTCTCCCACTCCCAGGATTTTCTGAATGGTGTCTGCACCAACATCATTCACATGCATAACAAGAAGCTGAAGTATTACACGGTGAGTGGTCCTCAGCTGCCTCTACACACACAAGTTCTCCTTTAAAAAAGATGTGCATGAGGAATCCTGCAGCCTGCTTTATTTCAGTCCCAAAGCCTTTGCTTTCAGGTCCTAGGCCATGGCTTGGCAGTCTCTGCTCATGGTGCCAGGGCTTCCCTCTGCTTTCTTGGAGGACTCCTTAACTCTGCCCACGAGTGTTGGCACATTGGCTCTCCTTCCATGAGCACAGGAGGCTGTGGTGATGGTCTCAGCCCACAGATAGGCCTCAGTTTTTCAAGTTTCAAAAAAATGTCAACTAGAAATCCTCTTCATTCCTAGCCATGTTCCCCAGAGTAGTAACAGTAACAGTCTTCCAGAAACTTCTCTGTGCTTGCAGGCACTTGTAGAGACTTTCACAGATGCACGGATCCGTTTCTCTTTACACTGCTGTAACTTTGATCACTACACTCTAGGTGGCCTTTTCACACACTTGTGTCTCTGTGGGAATCAGCCTCACTCTCAGCAGCTGCGTGCTTGCCAACAACTCCCCGTGTGACTCTTGCCTGTTAGTCCTTTGTGGTGGACATTTACCTTTCAGCCAGGTGTTTCCAGATAAAAACCTGGCAGTTTACAGTGTTTTTCCAGTGCTACATCAAAATGGTCTGCCTGCCACCCCTGCCCTCTGCCCCCTGCCTGGACACAGCTTTTGTAGGTGGTGTGGGGCATCAGCCTCCGGGGGTGGTGTTAAGATGAACCTTGGAGTGCCTATGTGACCATCTTGTGCTATGGCTGCCTTCCTGGCTAATGTAAGGATTTGCTCTGGTCCTGTCTGGGCCAAACAAGAGGCCCAGGACAGAAAAGACTTCACCCTGTAGGATAGGATGAGCTGCTCTGGCTACTGCATACACTTCCAGTCAGGGTTAAGTTAGCCCAGCTCTCACCTCGCTAGGTTTGGCTTAGGCCCCAGGTTAAAGCGGCCTACCCTGCCTTTCCCTGCAGGGTAACTACGATCAGTACGTGAAGACACGGCTGGAGCTGGAGGAGAACCAGATGAAGAGGTTTCATTGGGAGCAGGATCAGATCGCACACATGAAGGTGGGGAGGCCCTGGGGCCTAGTGGGGCAATGGGTGGAGAGCACATGGAGGTGGGGAGGCCTTGGGTGGAGGAGCCTGGAAGTCAGAGTTGTCACTTTCCACCCTAGATTGTAAGGTGAGTTGTGGTGCTTGCCACACACTCTGCCCACGGCCTCACCCCCTTTCTGGTCTTCTTCAGAACTACATTGCTAGGTTTGGTCATGGCAGTGCCAAGCTGGCCCGGCAAGCCCAGAGCAAAGAGAAGACGCTACAGAAAATGATGGCGTCGGGACTGACAGAGAGGGTCGTGAGCGACAAGGTGAGGGCTGACTGGGATGTGGCAGACTGAGGCATGGTGGGTAAGAAAGGAGCCAGACTGCTCAATTCACTCTTCTCTCCCCAGACACTGTCATTTTATTTCCCACCATGTGGCAAGATCCCTCCACCTGTCATTATGGTACAAAACGTGAGCTTCAAGTATACAAAAGATGGGGTAAGTTCAGGCCAGCGCTCATGTATGGTTTGGAAACCAGGATGCACTTCGGAGAGCGAGCACTGGCTGTCAGGAACCCCTCCGGTTCTGTGGCTGCTGAGGTGCCTCCCCAAGGCCTCCGTCAAGGACAGGAAGGAAACCGCTCAGTGGGGTTGGCGGGTGGATGCCGTGGATGGCGCTGCTTGAGCGTGCTTCCTTCCCTTTCCGTTCTCCTCACCTCCGAAACTGGTGGCCAGCTAGGCAGACTAGACCCATATGCTAGCCTTATGTCTTTGTCTCTCTTATACCCACCTCAGCCTTGCATCTACAATAATCTCGAATTTGGTATTGACCTCGACACGCGAGTGGCTCTGGTAGGGCCCAATGGAGCAGGAAAGTCAACTCTTTTGAAGCTGCTAACAGGAGAGGTATGGCACCAAGGGGGTGTGGCTACTTCTGGGAGTGGGCACTTGATCGTCTGTCATGGAAGTTAGGCAGGGGTCATCACTCTCAGAGGGTTGGCCAGCCCTGGCGGTGACTGAGCTGTTGAGGGGCTAAGGGTTAACCCAGGAGAGAGACAGCGTGTCATAGCAGTGTAGTAGCGTGGTTTGGGGCAGCTTTGTCTAGGTGAAGGCAGAGAACAATCAGGGAAAGAGAGAGAATGTGTGTGTGTGTGTGTGTGTGTGTGTGTGTGTGTGTGTGTGTCAGTCAGCATTTTCTGTTTTCCAGGCATTCAGAGTATAAGAACACGGATGTAGAGATAGGATTTTATTTTAGAAAATGTGTGTTGTCGCTGCAGGCAGGGACTTCGTGATGTAGTATTTTCTGTAGCAGATGTTTCTTAACTAGCCAAGTCTGTTGTGTGTGCTGCCTCCCCAAGCTACACTGCCTCTCAGTGTATCTTCCTAAGTGTTAGAGCAGCCGGGGTGGTTCTGGGGATTCTCCTTAGAAAGTTGGGAGTTTTGTTCTGGGTACACTTGTGGGTTTTTTCCCTGCTCTGCCCTTGTCTGCTTCCATGTAGATTTCCATTTTGTGAGCTTATGTCTGACCACTGCTCCTTTCCCCCTAGCTACTGCCTACAGATGGAATGATCCGAAAACACTCTCATGTCAAGATAGGGCGTTACCATCAGGTACAGACCTGGTCAAGGCCCAGCCCTACCTCCCCGTTCCCAGGAATTCTAGCTTAGTCAACCCGCACTTGCCTCTGTGGATCCTGAACAGGTGTCTGGGGGTAAAGGTAGAGTGTTCCCTAGCGGGTAACACAGCAGGGCCCCTTTGGAAGCAGGGCACGGTGCCATCTGGGCGGGTTTCACTTTTCCTGTAGCATTTACAAGAGCAGCTGGACCTGGATCTCTCGCCTTTGGAATACATGATGAAGTGCTACCCAGAAATCAAGGAGAAGGAAGAAATGAGAAAGATCATCGGGCGGTACGGGCTGACTGGGAAGCAGCAGGTCAGTAGGACAGGGTGTGGAAAGAACCCGGGCCAGCTGGAAGACATGGCTTGCTGGGCCAGGGTACCGTGCCCTGGCAGCCCAGCTGTGGGAGTTTTCCCAGAGTCTTATCATTTGAACTCAACCCCCAAGAGCCCACTGCCCTGGCGTCCCTCTAGACTGTTAAGTAATGGGACATTAACGGGGAGGGAACGAGGTACTGTGGTGCCTGCGAGCAAGGGAACATGAATCAGAGAGAACAGAAGTCCCGGACTCAGTTCTGGAACTCAGCATCTGCCTGATTGTTCCAGTTCTTCAAGCTTGCAGTGCTGACCCAGAGAGAGGCACAGCTCCGAGTTCTAGCTATGTCCCTCTCCAGCCTAGAGTGACTGTGGCTCTACCACTATCTTGCCACGGCATCTTGGACCTAAGCAAAATGGCAGACATCGAGTGGAGGAGCCAGGGGTTGGGGGAAGTGGTGAGTATGCTTTGTCGTGGCGCAATCTCAGGTTTTGTGTGTGCCCTGGCTCCACTCAGGTGAGCCCAATCCGGAACTTGTCAGACGGGCAGAAGTGCCGAGTGTGTCTGGCCTGGCTGGCCTGGCAGAACCCACACATGCTGTTCCTGGACGAGCCCACCAACCACCTGGACATCGAGACCATTGATGCCCTGGCAGATGCCATCAACGAGTTCGAGGGTGGCATGATGCTTGTCAGCCATGACTTCCGACTCATCCAGCAGGTGAGGCCCTGGCCAGGCCGCAAGGGACAGCACAAAGGGCTTAGGAGTTGGTTGGGTACAGCAGGCTGTGGCACAGGCCAAGCTGCGAGGGACGACACAGCACTTAGGAGGTAGTTGGGTGGAGCAAGCTGTGGCACAGGCAGGTGCGTAACACCCATTTCCTGAATTCAGAGAAGGGGTGTAAGCTGTACCTGAACCTCTTGATGAGGGCTGGCCTTAGGGCTCTTTGTGGCAACTGACAAGAAAGCCTTAACCAAGATACTTCTTCAGTAGTCTGGGGATGTTGCCAACTTGGCATTGTTGGCCCAAAAACGAGTTGGGTAGTTAAGTTTTACTATTGTGCCAAGATTCCACAGTACCAAAATAGTACTTTACTAAGAAGGACTTGGATTAGACAGGGTGCTGCTGCCAGGGTTGGAGACAAAGCTATTGATCATTGCACTGACACCCGAGTGAGAGCATGGAGAAGATGTGGGTGGGAAGAGGAGACTCAGCACAATCGCCTCTGATGAGCCAGAGACCCTGCTAGGGAACTGCGCAGGGAAGCAGCCCCGAGGGTTGCCGCTGTGCCTCTGAGGTCCAAGGAACTTAGAGACCGTGAACCAGGAGGCGGGGTGGGGGGAGGGGAGCTGGTGGAACTTCCTAGAAGCCCCTCAGTCCCTCAGGTGCAGGTGAGGAGTGGACAAAGTGACCGGCGAGGACTCAGTGGAGGATTTGTTTTCTAGGTTGCACAGGAGATCTGGGTCTGTGAGAAGCAGACAATCACCAAGTGGCCTGGAGACATCCTGGCCTACAAGGAGCATCTCAAGTCCAAGCTGGTGGACGAGGAGCCCCAGCTCACCAAGAGGACCCACAACGTGTGAGCCCCATGGCCGGGCTGGGGCAGGAGCTCCATCTGGGGACTCAGCGGCTCCCCTGAGCTGCTGCCTGGGCCAGGACCCTGGGGCCGCCCTCCTGCATTGCTGCGTTCTGCTCCCTGCCTCTCCCTGGCCTCTCCCGACCCCTGCCCTGGTCCCTCCCTGCCTCTCCCCATCCTTCCTTGGCCCTCGGCCTGCCTCAGCTGCACTCTTATCTAGCTACAGCTGGACAGCACTGTCCCTCTCCTTCCAGTTCCAGCTCTTGCTGGCTTCCCCTAAGTGATGCGGCCCAGGCTCCTGAGGGCTGGCAGCCGGGCCCTGGCTGTGGGCCGTGAAGGAGCTTAAGATCTGGGTTTTGGTGATGTTGGAGGAACACTCCCCAGCCCGCTGCTACCTTTCCTTTCTGCTTCTGGTTTGGAGCTCCGGGCCAAGGTCTTAGTCCTGGTTGGTTTTTAAATATTTAACAGTGTAACTTTTAGACCTGCGTGACATCCACAAAGTGACCAATAAAGAAAGAGGAAGCCATGGTCCCTGCCTTCTCAGCTCTCTTGAGGCGAGGCCACAGCCTTCTTGGCACTCGCTTCCTCCCACAGGGGCGGGGGGGTTGAGGGGCACAATTAGCCGGATGGATGGGGACTCGGGTCGAGCTCCTTGGGACAGGGAGAACTTTTTCCCTCTTGTGCAGATTTGGAATCACACCTATTCTCAAACTTCTACAGAAATCAGAGTCTCCTGCGGGCTTTGCTGGGTTCCTGCCTCTCTCTGGTTCAGTAGATCTGGGATGAAGCCGGGATTGATGGTTCGAACAAGTTCTTGGGGGGTCGGTGGGGAGCAGATACTGCAATTGCTGGCCTAAGGCCTGGACGTTGAGCACCTCTGTCCTGAGCACTGTTTTCCTGAAAGGCATGAGCTCTCCAGTGGGCACCTGTGCCCGCCACCACCGCACTTGGGGTGCTTGCCCAAGTGTGGATGCCTGAGCAGCAGACCAGGCCTGTCTGGTCTGTTCCATCTGGTGAAGCGGCAGAGATGCGGCAATGGCCAGGAGCTCGTGTTTGCCACTGCTGCTCCTGGAGCATGCAGGAAGCTTGTTCTTAATGTGAACCCAACACCGTGGAGCCCGTTTGGTTCCTGTGAGCTTGGCACTTGGCACCTCCACGCCTGAGGCATGTCTGCGGACCTTGCTCTGCCTGTGACCCCTCAGCAGCCATCCCTACGGGAAGACAGGCACGGCCACAATTTTTCAGTACTCACTAGAGCATATCGAAGAGTAAGATGGGGGCCTGGCATGATAGCCTAGCAGCTAAAGTCCTCGCCTTGCATGCTCCAGGGTCCTACATGGGCGTGGGTTCATATCCCGGTGGTCCCACTTCCCATCCAGCTTCCTGCTTGTGGTCTGGGAAAGCAGTCGAGGATGACCCAAGGCCTTGGGACCCTGCACCCATGTGGGAGATCCAGAAGAGCCTTCGGGCTCCTGGCTTCAGATTGGCGCAGCTCCGGCCGCTGCAGCCACTTGGGGAGTGAATCAGAGGACAGAAGAGCTTTTTGTGTCTCTTCCTCTCTGTATATCTGACTTTACAATAAAAATAAATAAATCTTTAAAAAGTAGGAAGAGAAAATGCTCCCAACTGGTTGTCTTAAACCCCCACAGAACGCGTGGTCTTACAAGAAAGCCACTAAGACTCAGAGAAAGGACAGAAAGCCGTGCTGAACTCGAGCAGAGCTAGGAAGACTGCTCCCAGGAAGGGCAGTCTCCTGAGCGGCCGGCATTGAGCGGGAGGAATGGTGGCAGCTTCTCGTTGGTGGGAAGTCCTAGAGCTGCGCCGAGCAGAGGGAGTGAGCACCCATTGAAAGGCTGCCCTCCCCTCTGCCTGCCTGTGTGTGTCTTCAGTGGTGCCTGAGCACCAGGAGACAGGGCAGTCATCTCAGCAGGAGGTGGTGTTTGGAGAGCAAGCTGCTGGGATCAGGGGCCAGTGGCATCTGCCCCTGTAGCCAAGGGGGCGCCTGCCTGGATGGTGTTGCCTCAGGTGAGGTCTGTTAGGGTCTTCAGAGCTCTGCGACTGAGGTGCCAAAGGCTCAGGCCTGCAGCACCCAGCGGATATGAGAAGAATACATAGGCCTTGGTCCTGGCGCCATGGCCTAGAGGTTAAAGTCCTAGCCTTGAATGCTCCAGAATCCCATATGGGTTCCAGTTCTAGTCCCTGCAGCTCCACTTCCCATCAGCTCCCTGCTTGTGGCCTGGGAAAACAGTCGAGGACAGCCCAAGGCCTCGTGACCCTGCACCCATGTGGGAGACCTGGAGGAGGTTCCAGGTTCCCGGCTTCGGATCAGTGCAGCACTGGCTGTTGTGGTCACTTGGGGAGTGAATCATCGGACAGAAATCTTCCTCTCTGTCTCCTCTTCTCTGCATATCTGACTTTGTAATAAAAATAAATCTTTAAAAGCAAAAAATACACGGGTCCACAAAATGTTCTTAAAATTACACGGTTGGCATTGTATAGTGGATTAAGCCCCTACCTGCAACACTGGCATGTAAAGACTGGTTTTATTCCAGGCTGTTCACTTCCCATCTAGCTCTATTGAATGGAGGTTGATGCAAATATCTGGGCCCCTGTCACCCATGTGTGAGACCTGGAAGGAGTTCCAGGCTTTTGACTTCCGCCTGGCCTCTGTCCCTGGCCCCAACCATTGCAACCATTTGGGGAGTAATCTGCCTTTCAAATAAGTAAACTACAATTCCTTATTTTGGATTAAGAACTGTCCTCCTGACTTTTTTTTTTTTTTTTTAATTTTAAGATTGATTTGAAGAGCAAAGTGCCTACTTTCCATATACTGATTTCCTAAGTGACTGCAATAGCCAGGGCTAGGCCAAACTGAAGGCTCTATGTTCCAACAGGGTCTCACATGCATATCAAAGACCCACATCCCAGGGGTACTGGTGGGCCTGGCAACTGACCCGAAATGTGGGCTGTTGGGTGTCCCAAGTTTAATCAGCTATGCCACAGTGTCCACCCTCCTTGCCTGAGAACACCTTGGTGTGCCCATGCCTGGCATGACCTGATGTCCCAGACTGGGTGCAGAGGTGAGTTCCATGGGGGAGGCTGTCCTGCTTGTCTTCCCTTCCGCAGCCACCTCCTACTGTGAGCCACCCACTTTTCCTATTGCTCCAGGTTTCTTTAGTCACAAAATAGAAAAAACATGGAATATTCACACATGGAGTGCCAAGTGAAACAATCGCATTCTCCATTCACAGTGGCTTTTTCCTCCCGTTTGCAGGGACCCCACGTGATCTGCTTTTTGTGAAAAACATCCATTCTTTATCTGCTGCTGACTTCCTTCTGTCTTGCCACAAGGCAGAGTCCAGCTGATTCGCCCCATCTGCCCTCAGTTCAAGCTGCCCTGTACTCAACATGCCCTAATTCCACTTCCTGCCTGTCATGTCCTTTCTCCTTACCCCATTCCTCCCAGTTGTATCTCAGCCATCCTCCAGGACCAACCTCGCATCCCTGCATGTGCCCTGAGGCTGGCTGTCTGCAGCCCTCCCTGAGGGGGCTGTGCACACCTCAGCCCTGTGGTCACCCCTAATTGCTCGATGTGAACCACTCTTGGCTCCAGCCCAGTGACAGCAGTCCTGGGGAGGTGCAGGGAGCCTGCAGCCCTGAAGCCCAGCTCTCTGAGCCACCAGGAGCTCAGAGTTGATTCTCTGGAGTTGGGTGAAATTGGTGTAAATTCACTGGGAGTTGGTTCTGTCGGGGAAGAAGAGCTGGTGCTGGGTTTCTTAATTGATAGGAAATTACCTGGGGGAGGAAGAAGAGAGAGAAATTAGTCTCAGGATTAACCCAGAGCACATTCTGGATGGAGTTGAGCCAAGCCCCTCCTTTCCCACCTGCTCTGTCCCAGGTGCTGGCCTCTGGCCCCACCTGGCAGGGCTGCTGACTTCATAACAGTGGCTCCATGGCATGGGGAGAGCTGTTCCAGGCAGCACAAGGATGAGTACGGAGCGTGGGCAGCAGCAGTCCAGGGCCCGCAGGGGCCAGAGCTCCAGGGACAGGAAGTCCAGAAAGCACAACAAGCACCAAGAAACCTACTCAAGATTGTGTGCATGATGTTGTTTGTTTTGGGACTCATAACATTTCTTCTCCAATTTAATTCTTTTTAAAGTTTTATTTATTTTTATTGGAAAGGCAGATTTACGGAGAGGAGAGACACAAGATCTTCCATCCGCTGATTCACTCCCCAGGTGGCTGCAATGGCCGGATCTGAGCCAATCCGGAGCCAGGAGCCTCCTCCGGGTCTTCCATGCAGGGTTCTCTACTGCTTTCCCAGGCCATAAGCAGGAAGCTGGATGGGAAGTGGAGCAGCCAGGATATGCAAACCAGCACCCATTGGGGATCCTGGCGGTGTACATGCAAAGTGAGGACTTCAGCCACCAGGCTACCATGCCAGGCCCTCAAACTTAATTTTGAAACATTGCAATTCAGGAAAATCTGGGCCCGGCGGCACAGCAGCTCTCTCACGACCACTGATCAGAGGCAGGCTGCTGCAGGCAACTTGCTCTCCTGAGCCAGTGGCCACACTGGGGCATCCAGCGAGCAGCATGCCTGCCACCTGTGCCATCCTTGACCTGGGTCTGTGTCACGGGAACAGTGTGATCACCCAGCAGCGCCCAGGGGGGCATAGGCACAACTATGCTCATTGACATACTATGGGGGAGGCTGGGACATGAGGCCCAGACGACCCCAAATCTAAAGCCTCCCAATACTGCCATGTACGCGGAAAGGTAGTGGGACGCTGCTGTGACTCGACAGGGTAATCCTCCTGCAGGGCCAGTATCCTATATGGGTGCTGGTTCAAGTCCTGGTGGCTCCATTTCTCTCATCCAGCTCCCTGCCTGTGGCCTGGAAAGCTAGCAGGGGATGCTCAAGGCCTTGGGGCCCTGAACCCATGAGGGAGACCCACAAGAGGCTCCTGGCTTCAGATTGGCTCAGCTTTGGCAGTTGCAGTCATTTGGGGAATGAACCAGCAGATAAATCTCTCTCATCTAGTGTGTGTGTGTGTGTCTTCTTTTTATAAATCTGCCTTTTTTTAAAAGATTTATTTTATTTTTATTGGAAAGTCAGATATACAGAGACGAGAGACAGAGAGGAAGATCTTCCGTCCAATGATTCACTCCCCAGGCAGCTGCAACGGCTGGAGCTGAGCCAATCCAAAGCCAGGAGCCTCTTCCGGGTCTCCCACGTGGGTGCAGGGTCCCAAAGCTTTGGGCTGTCTTCCACTGCTTTCCCGGGCCACAGGCAGGGAGCTGGAAGGGAAGCGGGGCTGCCGGGATTAGAACTGGCGCCCATATGGGATCCCAGGCGTGCAAGGCAAGGACTTTAACCACTGTGCCATCTCGCCAGGCCCAAATCTGCCTTTCAAATAAACATAATCTTTTTTTTAAAGATTTATTTTTATTATTTTTTTATTGGAAAGGCAGATATACAGAGAGGAGAGACAGAGAGGAAGATCTTCCATCCGATGATTCACTCCCCAAGTGAGCGCAACGGCCGATGCTATGCCAATCCGAAGCCAGGAGCCTCTTCCGGGTCTCCCACGCGGGTGCAGGGTCCCAAAGCCTTGGGCCGTCCTCGACTGCTTTCCCGGGCCACAGGCAGGGAGCTGGAAGGAAAGCGGGGCTGCCAGGATAGAACCGGCGCCCATATGGGATCCCGGGCGTGCAAGGCGAGGACCTTAACCACTGCGCCACCGGGCCGGGCCCAACATAATCTTTATTTAAAAAAAGAAAAGACTAGGGCCTGGCGCGGTGGCCTAGCAGCTGAAGTCCTCACTTTGAATGCACCAGGATTCCATTCTAATAGGTGCTGGTTCTAATCCCAGCAGTTCTTCCCATCCAGCTCCCTGCCTGTGGCCTGGGAAAGCAGTTGAGGACCGCCCAAAGCCTTGGCACCCATGGGAGACCTGGAGGAGGTTCCTGACTCCTGACTTCAAATTGGCTCAGCTCTGGCCATTGCAGTCACTTGGGGAGTGAACCATTGGAACCATCGGAAGATCTTCCTCTCTGTATTTCCTCCTTTTTTATATCTGACTTTGCAATTAAAATAAATTTTTTTAAGAAAGAAAGAGAAGAGTGAAGGTATGTGTGTGGGATAGCAGGCTGAGCCTGAATGAAGGGATAGAGGGTTCCTGTGTAGGGCAAGGTACAGCTGGTGTGATGCTTTAGGGATGCACGCTCTGCCACGGCTGGCCCGCTTGCAGGTGCCTGCAGACAGAACCTGGCTTGCTTTGATCCTCACGAGAACAGAGGCCACCCTTAACTTTGCTCTGCTCTAAACTTCCAAAGCTTGCTGCCCCACAGCCGGCAGCCACCATGCCACCTCCAGGACGTCCTCCTGGCCAAGTGTCCTCAATCCTGCTCCCTCCAGCCTCCTCTCCTCAGCCTTGGAACATTGGCACAATGGGTCAGAACCCTTCAAACCAGGCTGTTCTGCCCCCTGGTTCTGGAGGGTGGGGTCAGGGTGGAACCTCAGGGCCCCTGGGGGTTCCACTGTCAGCTCACAGAGGGACAGTGTGCGGAAAGACTGCCATGTCTGAGGGGTGAGTGAGGGACCCAAGTGCGGTCCCATGGCTGGGGAGGTGAGAAGTAAACTGTCCCACCTTGCCGTGGAAGCCTGGGGAGCGGGCGGTGCTGGGCCAGCCTGCGGCTGCCAGGTCCCAAAAAACCACCGGGCTCCCTGGTGGTCCAACCTGTGCGCAACATTTGTTCTTCAGATGCCCCCTGGACTCTGCTCTGGGCCATGGACCCTTCTGCATATTCACCCATCACCCCACTGTGGCTCCCCCTGGAGCCCCAAACTCCAGATTGCCCTCCTCCCATCTCCCTAAGGGCTCATGTCCTTCCTCTCCTTGCTAATCCATCAGTAGGACCCCATTTTAGGCCTCTTCTAAGCTCATTTCTCCCTAAGACCCCTTCACTTTATTCAAGTCTACTCTGGTGCCACGGAGGAACGTCCCGCCTGCTGGGCCACCAAAGTCACCCCACAGGCTGAGCGGGGTGGGCCTCCTTCGCACCTGTTGTCCGCATGCCCAGAGGCTCTGAGCTCGCAGCGGGCTGCCTTCCCTCCAGTGCTTATCAACGCCTATGGGAGTCCTCCCACGTGGCCCTGCAAGAGCTGCTGGATCGCGAGCAGCCCCTGCTAGAACCTGTACCGGACCGGGACCGGCAGTCCTTCCAGCACAAGATCTCTTCTCTTTACCTGCACTACCTGGGGCTGCTGCGCCGGTTCGACACTGTGTATGACCAGATGGTGCAGCCGCAGAAGCGGCGGCTGCTGCGGCGCCTGCTGGACGGCGTGGCGGGCCGCGTGCTGGAGCTCAAGGAGGAGCTGGTGCGCGCCGACCTGTCCGAGACGCACTGCCTGGACCGCGTACTGCAGGACCTCAAGTTCACCCCGGTGGGTGCGCGCCCGCCTCCCCACCTTCTCCTACAAGGAAAGAGGGTGGGGTAAACCAGCAGGTGGTGTTTGGCCCTCCGAGAGAAGCAGCTGGGAGACAGAGCAGAGAAAGGGCAGGGGTGCTACTGCAAGAGGATCCTGCAGGTGTGGTTCCTGAGCCATCAACCTCCAACCCATCTGGGAACTGGCTGGAAATGCAGTCTCAGCTGCACGCCAGACACACACACCTGCGCTTCACCTGCCCCAAGCCAGGGTTCAGTGTGCTGCGTGTGCCAGACAGGCCCCCAAACGAAGTGTAAAGATTTGGTGGGGGCAGCGGGGGTGGGGAGGGGTGCAAAGATTTCCTAGTCTAAAGAAGGGTCTAAGGGATCTGCATTTAAGAGCTTCCCGGTGGATTCTGATGTGCAGCCTGGTTTGGAGCCCCTGTCCCCTCTTGAACTCAGCTTGGCCATGCAGGGGGCGGGGGGCAGGGCCAAAGAAGGGTAGCTGTGCTGGTGCTGGGGGTGGGCCTGACCCATGGCCTTGGAGTCCCCCACACTGGACTTCCAGGGTGCAGGTAAACAGCATCCCGGAGCGAGCAGGTGGGCAGTGGACTACAGCATAGGGTCAGCCAGGTGCACTGGGTATTTGATGTTTGATCCTTCATTCCTCTTGTTGCCCCAAAGGCAGACCTGGAAGTCCCCATCCCCAAATACTTCCAGCTGGAGCAGAACACTGCCATGAAAGAGCGAGGGGTGATTCTAGCTGAGATCCTGTCCCGAATACAGCCTGTGGTTTTGGAGGAGGTGAGAGGGGCTCTAAGCTGACTTATGCCAGAGCCATGGCATAACAAGTTAAGTCTCTGCCTGTGGTGTCAGCACTCCGTATGATACTGGTTCAAGTCCTGGTAGCTCCATTTCCAATCTAGCTCCCTGCTAGTGGCCTAGGAGAGCAATGAAAGATGGACCGAGTGCTTGGGTCCCTGGTCAGGGACACATCGACCTTCCCCCTTGCCCTGTGCCCTCCTCAGGGCACTCCTGGGCTACCCCTGGCCTCCTTGAAAACACTGCTCTGATGCTCCTGTCACTGCAAGGCCAGAGAGGCCTTGGGCCCCCTGTGCCCTAGGGGGAACATCTTACTGGGGCTGCTTCTCCCAGCTGCAAGTTTTGTCTCCTGCCTTCCTGTTCTGTTCTGTGGCTCCTGCTGGCCAGAACATTCCAGTGATGCATCGGACAGAAGCCATCATCCTGGTGCAGTGCGCTGAGCGGGCCAGGCAAGGGCGCCTCAGGGCCACTTTCATGCGAGAGATTCGGAGAGAGGAAGAGCGGGACCGCAAAAGTCGAGAGGACGGACGGCACAAGTTCACACAGGACCAGTCAGCTGTCATCATACAGAAGGTACGCTCAGCAGGGGCACACAGGAGTGGTGGTGCCTGGATTCTGTCAGCCCATAACTTGGTTGCACACCAGAGCCCCAGGATTGGCATGGGACGCATGAGGCTACCACTTGGGAATCTGTGTCCCGTGTTGGAATGCCTGGCTTTGTGTCCAATCCCACTTCCTGCTAATGTGTGCCCTGGCAGGTAGCAGGTGATGGCTCACATGCTGGAGTTCCCACCACCCACGTGGGAGGCCTAGGTTGAGGCCCTGGCTCCCAATTTTGTCCTGATCCAGTCTGGTAGTTGTAGGCTCTGGGCAGTGAACCAATAGATGTTGTTCTTGGGACTGAAGGTGGTGGGTGACCTGGAGCAAAACACGCTAGTCCAGTTGTGCACTGCTGGCTTCCTGACCCAGGAGAGGTCATGGTCTGGCTCTGACCTCAGTTTCATTGGGTCAAGAATGCAGTATTAGGGCTTGGCACAGTAGCTCAGTGGCTAAAGTCCTTGTCTTGGACATTCTGGGATCCCATATGGGCACCGGTTCTAATCCCAGAAGTCCCACTTCCCATCCAGCTCCCTGCTCGTGGCCTGGAAAGGCAGTCAAGAACGGCGCAGGGCCTTGGGATCCTGCACCTGCGTGGGCGACCTGGAAGAGGCTCCAGGTTCCTGGCTTCAGATTGGCTCAGCTCTGGCTGTTGTGACCTCTTGGAGAATGAATCAGCAGATGGAAAAATCTTCTCTCTGTTCTCTCTGTCTCTCCTCCTCTGTGTATATCTGACTTTCCAATAGAAATTTAAAATAAATCTTAAAAAGAAGCAAGAATGCAATGTTAGGGGCCGGAGCCATGGTGTATCACGTTAAACCTCTGCCTGTGGTGCCAGCATCCCAAATGGCACTGGTTCAAGTCCTGGTGGCTCCATTTCCATTCCAGCTCCCTGCTAGTGGCCTAGGAGAGCAGTGGAAGATGGACCAAATGCTTGGGCAAGGAGTACAGAATACTTCCTGGAAGAAGTGGTGATGCAGCTCCAATCTGTGCTACCACAGACTGATTTGGGCTGGGGATGCGGTGAAAGAGGGAATGTCTGGGAGACCTTGATCCAGGTGGCTTGGGTCCTTACCAGGACCCACTCTGAATGTACACGTGCCAGAGAGAGGCCCTCCCTCTCACCCTGACAGCAGCGGCTGCTGCTCCATGAGCCTGATGCCTGTGGACACACAGCCTAGAGAACCTTCGTATCCCATGTGTCTCCCAGATGTGGAAGGGCTACATGCAGAGGAGGCGCACCCGGCAGGACCGGCGCAAGGAGATGGAATTCATTGGCATGGTGAGTACAGCCTGGCCACCATGGCGGGCAGGGCACATGGCTGGCCAGGGTCTTCATTCCCCGTGCTTCTCCCTCTCCCCTTGCCCCCACCCCCCAACCTCTTCTCGCCCCACACTCCAGCAGGTGGAGTAGGAGATCCTGGGGGGAGAGAGCAGTGGGAAGTGGGGACACCACAGACAACACTCTTTCACGGTGACTGCTCCCTCTTCTGCAGGCTGGGGAGGGGCGAAGGCACGGAGCATCCAGACCCTACTTTCCTGTCATGGCTGGAAGGAGATGCCATGGGGGTGGGGGGTGTCCCGTAGAGGAGGCCGCAAGGCCCTCTGAGGCTCCCACATCTGCAGCCTCTGAGCATGACCATGGGCAGCCCGCAGAGCTTGAGGGGGATGGTGGGAGTAGCTCTCAAACCAGGCCTTTAAAGGTCATTGGCTGTGGGTGTCCCCTGTCTTCTCCCCCCAAGCAGGGAAGAACGCTGAGTGTGTGTCATGTGCAATGTGTGAGTGAGTGTGCATGCTGAGTGGTCCCTGGACCCGGTGTGCACAGACACAGGAAGCAGGTGCTGCTGCCCAAGGTCAGCTGCCCTCTGCTCTCTGGCCCCTCTCATCTCTGCTGATGAAGGAAGGCAAGGCACAGCAGGGGTGAAGGTCATGTCTAGAGACAGGGTCTTTTCCCTGGACAGATTCCATGGGGTGGGGAAAGTCTGGCTGATAGAAAGAGGTGAAAAAAAAGCCTGGGCCCCTGGGGACCAGCAGGATTGGAGCCCACCGGGGTCTGCGGCACACAGCTTGGTGCTGAGGTGTCTTGGCCAGCTGCGTTGGTGCCACGGGGCACTGCAAGCTGCAGAAGGAGGCAGGGACTGGTGGCTACTGTGGGGAGATGAAGTGAGAGACTTGTTGGGGGGCCTACAGAGCTGCAGCCCCAGGGGGCAAAGCAGCCAGAAGGAGGCAGGACTCAGGCCTAGGTGGCTGGTGGCAGGGGGAGCTAGGAGAGGGGCGGGTGAGGAATGAGCCCGGCCGTCCAGGCCATCAACAGTGTGAGCTCAGCGTTTTCAGTAATTGTCTCTGCACAGAGTGATATTTAAAATACATTTGGGAGCCAATGAGGCGGGAAAGTGGCTGCGAGAGCGGCTGCCAACTCGGCCGCCGCGGGCGGGGCTGCGCATGGGGGCTGGGCCAGAGGCTCGCAGGGGAGGCCGAGCAGGGGGGAGTGGGCTGGATGCATCTAGCAAACTCATTATCACAGTAATTTACGCAGACGAACCTCAGCTCCAAACACAATTTCTCCTGATGCAGGCATGCCTGTTGTTCCGTGTGGGTTGAGTGTGTGGGTGTGTTGGGTGGCGAGCAGGGGCAGGTATGTGCACCCAAGGCTGGGTGCTGCCCCCCCACCCCCCCTCACCCGCCTCAGTCTCTCTTTTCTCCTCTCAGCTTCCCTCGCCCAATCAGGAGGAGCACTTAAGCATCCTGTCCAAGGCCTCCTCGGGGGGGGATGTCCGGAGGCTCCGGCAGATGGAGAAGGAGGAAGAGTTCCAGCAGGCCTTGGCGAAGGCCCACGAGACCCTCGCGGAGACAGAGGGGCCTGACATAAAGGAGAAAATGAAGGAGCAGATTCGGCAATGGTTTATTGAGTGCCAGTCAGTGCTCTTGGCATAACCGGCCCAACCCCAGTCCCTGCTTCCCTGCTTACCCCCAGCCCCGGAGGCCTTTCCCACCCTATCCTCTTCCAAGCCAGTTCTGTCTTCTGCTTCATCTCCTCCCAGCCTCAACACCTTGCTAACCCTCTTGATTTTAACCTTGGGCCCCAATATATGAGACCATCTCCACCTCTGACTTCCTGCTTCCCTAAAGGAGAGAACATGCCAGGATAAGACGGCAAGAGAGGCCATGAATGCCCCTTAAGCAATCTTTCCATTCTATAACCCTGAGCCCTGAACCCATTCTGTATCTCCCTCTTTCTTTGTCTCCACCCTTCTACCCATCCATCATCCAAGCTTCTATCCAGATATCCATCTATCCATTCACTCTTCCACCACTGCTTCCATCCTTCCATCCATCCATCCATCCATCCATCCATCCATCCATCCATCCATCCATCCATATGGCCACCCACCCATCTTCCCAACCATTTGCTCAGCTAGCCAACCAGCCATCCAATTGCCCCTCTATCTAACCAAGTGCTCATCTATCTCTCACACATCTGATATCCACTTAGTGCCCTTACAGGTCGGTTTCCTGATTATCCAGATGAGGTTTCCGGTGGATCCTACCTGATCTTTGCAGACAAGACTCCAGAACAGGTATCTTGGAGGTGGAGATAGGAGGTTATCTATGGCAAGCAGAGCCAGGAGTAGCAGAGTAGTAAATATAAGCTGGCAGGGCCAGTGGTGTGAAGAAGGGTCAGTCTCAACCAGGCAGATGTGGTCAGAGGAAATACAGTAGCTAAAAAGATTGCACAGGGAAGGTGAGCAGGAATGCTTGGGGCTGGAGAAGGTGCCCACGGCCTGGGCAAGACAGCATGTCTGGTGAGACTTCCCAGATCCCCATGGGCTAGGAGCAAGCAGTGGCTCTTGTCTGAGCACCTTCCCTAGAGCCATTCCCTTCCCAGATCCCAGGGTAGCTTGCACACGCTGCATCTTCATGCCCTCATCAGGTGCCCTAGGCCTTGGGAATTCTTAATCCACTCCCAGCATTGAGCCCTGTATTCCCTTGCTTCTATAAAATCTCCTTGGCCTTCTCAGATACCTTTTGTTGTTGGTCCCAGGTGAGAATGGAACTGGAGACACAGGACAAGGAGAGCAAAAAAAAGGAGCCAGAGAAGACGAAGAAAGATGAGATGGAGAAAAAAGAGAAGAAAGGGAAGGAGGACAAGGCCAGGAAGGGGGTAAGACATTCCTTGGTATGCATGGACCATACAGGTGGGGAGGCAGCATGGCTGGTTCAGGGGATGAAGTCAAGGTCAAAGGACATTTGTATTCCAGGAAGTGGAAACCATGTTGAAAGTGTCACCGTCCAAATTTGTACCCATGATCAATGCTGGACACGAGGAGTACATAAGTAAAAAAAGGCTGGAGGGGAGTGTGCCGGTCTTGGGGGGAATTTGGGGTCCTTTAGCGTGAGGCAAAGGGGCGTCTGGAATGCAGACTGGGGTAGAGGAGTGTGGGCAGAGGGGTGTGATTGCTTGGGTCAGGGTTGAGTTCTCTGGGCCTCAGTTCTGAGTTCAAGCCTTGTCTATTGAGTGAGGAGAGGTAGTGCTGGGTGGCCAGGTAGAGACAGCAGGACCAGTCAAGGTCAGCTTCCTGGACCTCGCGTGCATGCCTGTTTGTGAGTGTGCATATGTGTGGGGGTGACCAGACTCCCACCTTCACACGCCGCCACAATGTTCTGCAATCAGGTCTGTGGAAGAACCGGAAGGATGGCTTGTACCCCAACCAAAGTTTTGACTCTGAGACCCTCCGGGAGGAGAAGAGAAAGGAAGTGGAGCTGGAGATCCGTATACAGGTGTGAGTGCTGGGCCAGGGCACCCCAGGCCACTGCTGTCCACCGTGTCCCCATCCAGGCCCAGCACCTCACCTGTGGACCCCTGCCTTCCCAGCCCAGCTCCACCACATGCCATGTGCCCCCCAGTATGTCCTCTTTCTCCCCCAAGGTGCCTGGGATGTAGTGGGCATGGGAAGGACACGTGAGGGGCTCTGAACTGGCATCAGGTTAGGCATTCACACCCCATTTTCCCAAACTCTTAATTCCAGCCCAGGGCCTGTGCTTCAGGAAACAGCAGCTCTTGAGGCAGGAGCTTGTTTTCCTATCCCACAGAGAGAGACCTGCACTTGAAAGATGACCTAGCTCATCTGGGCCCCAGAGACTCAGGCTTGGATTTCAGCTTGGGGGCTGCTCCCACACTGCTGACCACCGAGGGCCAGGCTCAGGGGGTGCAGCATAGGAAGGAGGACTGGGTGTGAACAGGCGCAGGCCAGAGCACCTGTGGGAAGGCCTTGAGGGTTGTCCCGCTGCCTTCTCCAGACTTGGCATGGCCCTGCTCTCTGGCTCTCTTGCCCCACACTCCCTGCTGTCTCCCTCAGGTGGATGAGCTGATGCGCCAGGAGCTGAGGAACCTGCGTCTGGCTGTGGACAAGGAGGAAGAGAGGCCTATGAAGGCTCCAAAGGCATGATGAAGGGCCAAGACTGGGCACGGGGGTGCAGTCAGGGAGACAAACAGAGGACAATCATCTCTATGCTTATTTCCAATCAGAAAAAGTCTGGGAAGAAAGTTGGGAAGAAGAAGAAAGAGAAAGATCTGACCTCAGACAGGTAGAGGACCCTCTGTGGCCACCAAGCCCTGTGTGGTAGGGAGGGCCCTGGTCTAACACCAGGACACCTGGTCCTGGTGCTGCTGCTCCTGGGAAGTCACCTCTGGTGCCCTAGCCTTGTTCATCAAGTGCCCACCTCTCCAAGCTTACGAGACAGCAACAAGGGTGAAGTAAAGCAGAGGGTTGGTGCAGAATAAGTGAAGTTGGTCATGGAAAGGATTGCAACCCTCCTCCAAGACCCTCCCTCCAGGCTTTCCCATAATTAGGTTAATTAGATGCCACTCTGGAGTATCCAATGAGGGTGGTACCAAGTTCACTAATGTCTGCTTGAACACTTTCCTCCCACTTAACATTGTTAACTTGGATTTTAAGAAGAAGGTCCTGCTCAGCCCTAATGCCCAGCTCCTGAGGGAGGAGCTGGGAGGCAGTGGGCAGAGGTGGGCACCTGCAGAGGGCACCACCTGTACCCCTACCTCTTGCCTCTCACAATACCCACTGTGGGGGCCCTGCTTCCTGGGAAAGTGGACCAGGTGTCCACCGTCTAGTGGCCTTACTGATACTTGCACAGGGCAGAGCCCACTCATTCTGCCCCTGCCCTGTCTCCATCTCCTGTTCCCTAATGTCCTGGAGCCACATCCTCTGTCAGGTCCCTGGATTCACTGTATGAAGAGCTTGTCATTTTGGGCCTCATCAAGAAGTGTGAGAAAGTGGCCTTAAAAGATTATATTGGTGAGCCCTCCCCTGCCCCCTACCACCCCGGAGCCAGGCCAGGCTTCCCTCCCCCACCCCCCACCCCCACCCCTACAGTGAGGCAGTCCTCTTCTTCCAGCCATCCTCACCAGGTGGCCCCTGTCCCCTCAGGTGACTGCCTCTACCTTGGGTCCATGCTGAACTTGGCGAAAAAGTTACCCATGCCCTCCCTGTTTGACATACGACAGAACATAGCCCTCTACGCGGTCCTCCGGCTGGGTGAGAGACCTGGGGGAGGGTGACAGGCCAGCACCAGGCCAGTGGCCTCGCTGGGGACTTGCAGGGGTTGGGGAGGAAGGGTAGCTAGCTGAGCACACAGATCCATCAGGGCCTCCACTCCCAGGTCTGGGTTGGAGTCCTTCTGCCTGCTCCAGGCCCTGCTGGAGCCACAACCAAAAACGTGGGTTGTGCCACTGCAGAGGGCTCCAGAGCGCAGCCCTTACTCAGGGCCAAGGGCTTGCTCAGAAGACTAGCCCTACACCCCTTCAGAATCCCAGCCTGGAGATGTTGCTGAAGCCATCTGTCACACACCACTTCATGGCACACCAGCCCAGGCCAGGCGAGGCGGTGGAGGCGATGGATAAGTCCCACTCCCTCTTAACAAACTCCTCCTTGTAAAATGGCTAAGCCACCCAAAGTCCCCTCAGCTGCCTCTCTGGGCTTCGGGCCCATGGGAGCTTCTCAGATGCTGGTAGAAAGTGTTACAACCGTGACCACAACTTCAGCCTTCTCACCTCCCCCAGTCCTTGGTCCTTGCCCTGAGCCCGCCCCAGCTCCTGGCCTATCGCCTGCCTCTGGCCTTCCTTCTCAGGATCTCAGGACATTCACTCCATGGCCCCCCTCATCCGGTCCCTCCTACTGGTGGGCCCCTCCGGCATGGGGAAGAAGATGCTGGTCAAGGCCGTGTGCACAGAAACTGGAGCCAACCTGTTTGACCTCTCGCCCAACAATCTGCAGGGCAAAAGCACCACCAAGAACGGAATCCAGATGATTGTGCATATGGTCTTCAAGGTCTGGCACTCCCAGGCCTCTTATGTGTGCCCAAGGACTCGTCCATTTACCGCTTTTGTGTCACTGAAAGTTCCAGGAGGTGTCCCTACGAGCCCCTGTCCTAACCAGGGACTCCTCTCGAAGGCCCCTACAGTGGGGAACGTGGGGGGAGGTAGGACGTAGGCCACGCTGTGCCCACATCAGCAGCAGGGACACCTGGTTCATGCTGAGATATTGTGTGCAAGTGCAAAGGCCTGGGAGGTGGGGTGGGCAGGTCGCAGGGCATGGAACCTGGGGCCCCAAGGCCAGTCACTTACTCAGGCTCACCCTGACACAGGGCAGACTTGCCCTGTCCCAGGGACACGCCCAACCCTGAATGCTGCTTGCTGCCCACCCCTCCCAGGTGGCCCGGCTCCTGCAGCCCTCAGTAATTTGGATCGGAGATGCTGAGAAGAATTTCTATAAGAAGGTCCCTAAAGAAGACAGGAAGGTGAGGCACCATGGACAGGAAACACAGCCGGTTGGCAGGCACTGGGGTGAGGCCAGCAGGCTTGGGCATGCTCCAGCCCCCTGTACCTGTCAAGCTGCTGACCTCCTGCACACTTCCCTCGGGGTTATGCTCTGAGCTGGGGAGCAAGGAATGAGGTTGGGGGAGCCTGATCCTCATCCCCACAACCTCCCCGGCACAGTTGGACCCCAAGCGAATAAAGAAAGACCTCACCAAGGCCGTGCGCCTGCTGGCCCCTGGCGACCGTGTGATGCTGATAGGGACAACCAGCAGGCCACAACTGGCCGACCTCAAGGGGCTATGCCGGGTGTACGAGCGCATCCTCTTCATCCCACGGCCTGACTATGCTTCTCGCTTTGGTGAGCCCAAGGCAGGGGGCATAGGCCAGCGGGAAGGGGGCGTCCAGGGACCACTGCCTTCCCCCTCATCCACCCCTCTTTCCCACCCCACACCCCCAGTCGCCAGAAGGGCCATGTAGCCTGTGCTCAGCATCCTGACTTCCTTGGTTTAAAACAGGATGTTATGCACAGCTCCTGAACCCATTTCTTTCGTGGGAAGAACGGGGAATAGGAGCTACCCACTTCCCTTTGTTGTCTGCCCTGCACCACAGTGCTCTGGAAGCGTATGATAGAGGCCCAGGGAGTCCGGGTGACCCAAAGCCTGGACATCAGTGCCCTGGCCAAGGTGTCCGATGGCTACACGCCCGCCAACATTCTCCAAGCCATCCAGTGGGTGCTGAATGAGCGGCGGCTCCTGCAGCTGGCCAAGCGGCCCCTTGTGGCCTCAGAGTTCCTGGGCCACCTGGCGAAGATGGACCCCGTGTACAAGGAGGAGGAGGAGACCCTGAAGGTGCGGTCCCCGGGGTCAACAGTGCCAGCGAGGAGCCAGCCTTCGGGAGCACTTGCTGTGTCCCTGCACGCTACCCTCCTAGATGGGCAGAGAAGCTGGTTGGATGAGAGCAAGTCCAGTTAGGGAACAGGGACTTGCAAAGAATTGGGAGCAGCGTCTCCTGTCCTGTTGGAGGCAGATGCCCCACAGGAACCCCCTTGTGTGTTAAGCAGCCCTGGCTGGTGCTGGCAGCTGCTGCCCCTACCTCCCAATCCCTAAGGCAGTGCCCATTTCCAAGGAGGCGGGCCCAAGTGGCCTTGGGAGACCCCAGGAAACAGGGGCTGTAGGAGTGCAGCGCGGGTGGGGGAGGGCTGGAGAATTCAGCCATGGGGAGCAAGTGGTACCTTGGCTCTAACTAGACCCACGCCACCCATCAAAGAAAAGGGGTGAAGTCAAGGAGGCAGAGCCGAGGGTGAGGGGGCACCTGCCCTACCCCCAGGAATGGTACTTCAAGACTCCACTGGGCAGGAAGAATATGAAACTCAACAAAGAGCAGATGGAGGCTGAGGACGCCCGGGTGGCCAAGGAGAAGAAGAAAAGGAAGTGACACCCCTTCAGGCATGGGGTACCAGGGGTAAAGAAACCCAGGGGCAGAGAGAGGCATAAATGCCCGATGGCTCTGGGCCGAGCTCTCATGTCTATCCATCACTGCGCCTCTCCACCCCTCTCTGCTCCCTTCAACTGCAGCCCACTCCTCCCTCACCACCTCTCCTGCACTCCCAGATCCCAATCCCAGCCTCTGCCACCAGGTCCTTATCGCCTATGGCTTTCCTGTCCCGGCTGCCCAGTTCTCTTCCTCCTTGCTCCTTGGGGTACTTACGGGAGGAGAGCAGGAAGAAAGAAGACTGTAGGAGGCCCAGGAACAGCTTCCTTGCATGTAGGGCCCCTACTCCTTCAATCACCCAGGTGTTGGGGGAGGCAGGGAAGCGAGGGGTGGAGGAGGTATAAGGGTTAGCACCATGGTACAGAGGGTTACGCTTCTGGCTGCTCTCCTATTGATCCATCTCCCTGCTGATGCATCTGGGAGAGCAGTGAGTGATGGCCCAAGTGTCTGGGTCTGCGCCATCCATGTGGGAAACCTGAGTGGAGTTCCAGGCTCCTGACTCGGGCCCATTTGGGGAGTGAACTGGAGGATGGTCTTTCTGTGTCTGTGTGTCCCTGTTCCTCCCTCCCTCTCTGTCACCTTGCTTTTCAGATAAATAAAAATTAATTTTTTTGTTTTTTTTTAAGAGTGTGGATAAAAGAAGGGACTTTCAGGGCAGGGCCAGGGCTGAGACAGACCCAGTGCCACCTCAGTGACTCTTGCCCCTTTCCTGCCAACACTCCACCTTCACCATGCACCTGACCCCAGCCCAGCACTGTCTTCTCACCCATAGCCTGCCTGGGGTCAGTGGAGTGGACCCTCCTGCTCCAGGGATGGCAAGTCCATTGATTCTGTACTTCTTGCTGGAGATGATAAATCTGGGTGGGCATGGGGGGTCAGCTCCTGGGTGGGCATGGGGGTCAGCTCCTAGGGTGGGCATGGGGGTCATCTCCTGGGGTGGGCATGGGGGTCAGCTCCTGGGGTGGGCATGGGGGTCAGCTCCTGGGGTGGGCATGAGGGTCATCTCCTGGGGTGAGCATGGGGGTCATCTCCTGGGGTGGCCATGGGGGTCTCTGTTTCTCTCTACAGGCTGAATCTGTTTCCACAGAAGGCTGTTACCCTCAGAACCCTGTCTGACACAGCATAGGTGGTCCCTAATGCTTGTCAGTACTGTGGACCCCTCGCTTGGGCCGGGGAGTAGGAGGGTACAAGGTTAATAATGCATGGCAGGGCAGGGGACAGTCACAGGACACCCAGGCAGCTGGAGGCTGGTTTGGTGAAGTAGATGATGGAGAAGATGCAGATCCCAGACTCCAGTCGGACTTGGAGACGGCCTCCTTCTCTGAGCTCTGCTTTCCTCATCGCTGGGAGGTAGCCTGGGCTGGTGGGACAGGATGCTTGAGAGGTGGGGCTTTCCAACCCTGGAGGCCTGGGGTGGAGCTTGAGGTTGGAGAGCTCCACCTGTCACTCGGGTCCCCCACCCCCACCCTGGTGGCTGGCACAGCCTGGGCTATTTATGGCTGATAGCCTGTGCTGCCTGCCCCTCCCACACTGGGTGCACCTGACTCCGCACCCAGTGCCCGCCTGCTGCCCTGGGCCACCAGCAGCTTCCTGTTTCTCTTCCAGAAACTAGCCATGCCTAGGGGAGGGGACTTGCCTCCCCGCCCGGCGCATCTGCTGGGGGGTCTCCCCTCACCCCCTGCCTGCCCGCTCCTCTGCCGGGACATGGCTCTCCAGAATGCCCTCTACTTGGGGGACCTGGCAAGGCTGCAAGACCTGTTCCCTCCCTGCAGCACAGCCGACCTGTTGCTGGAGAGCCGGGCTGCGGAACCTCGCTGGAGCAGCTGCTACAGGGGTGAGGGGCAGAGAGGGAGGCCTGCGACCAGGGGGCTGGGCTGATGGCCGCTGAGCTGGAGGGAAAGGCGAAGCTCCTGGCTGTTTCTCCCCCACCCCGCCACTTACCCGCCAGCCTTCAACTTGGCCCAGGAGTGCAGTCATGCGGAGGAGCCAAGAATAGCTCCCCCAGCACTTCCTGGCCAGGTCGGCCATAGACCTGTGCCTGCGTCTGTCACTGTTGTCGTCCTGCTCCCGCCGCACTCTTCCCTGCATGCCCAGGAGCTGGTCCCCGGAAGAATGCGGGGGGCAGGGAGAGCCCCCAGGCGACGGACACCCCCTGTGTGCTAGGCTGGTAGATTCGCCCCGCACAGGGTCGGAGGAGCAGCCCGAGTCTGGCCTGACCCCCATTGTCACCCGCACGGCTTCGGGACCTGCCCTTGCCTTCTGGCAGGCACTGCTGGCTGGGGACGTGGGCTCTGTCTCCAGTATCCTGGCCGACTCCAGCGCGGGCCTGGCTCCCGACTCCATCTTTGACACCAGCGACCCAGAGCGATGGAGAGACTTCCGCTTCAACATCCGCGCTCTGAGTACGGGCCAGGGGCCCCGGGGGGCAGGTTGTGGGGGGTACTGAACAGCGGGAAGGTCCCACAACTCCCGCCACCCCGCCGAGACCGCTCTGTCCCTCTCTCCCTAGGACTCTGGTCCCTGACCTACGAGGAGGAGCTGACCACACCGCTGCACGTGGCCGCCAGTCGAGGGCACACAGAAGTGCTGAAGCTGCTACTCAGGCGCCGAGCAAAGCCGGACAGCGCCCCCGGGGGCCGCACGGCCCTGCACGAAGCCTGCGCCGCTGGCCACACTGCCTGCGTGCACGTGTTGCTGGTGGCAGGTGCTGACCCCAATATCCCGGACCAGGACGGGAAGCGCCCCTTGCATCTCTGCCAGGGTGCTGGCACCGTGGAGTGAGTTACCAGCCCGGGACTGGTTCTGCTCTTAGAGAACGCTGGGAGCCCTTCTCAGGGAGGGTGGGGCATGTCAGGGTCCCGGAGCCTCTGTGGCACGGTGCAGGGGCAGGTGCCATGGCTGCACACTGGGCTTCACTGTTCTGCTTCCCAGGTTGTCCAGTGATTATTTCTTGGGCTCCCTGTTCATGGACCACCTGCCATTTCTTACTTAGCATGATCAGCTCCAGAGAGTCCCAGGCACTTGGCTGCCTTGTAGTTGAAGGTGTGTAGTTGAGTGGTCCGGTAGACGTTTCATGAAAGTTACATACGGGATTGCCTGTTCGCTGCTGCTGTAGCAGGGTACCCGATGCTGGGCAGTGTACAGCGCAGACTCAGCCCAGTTCCAGAGTGTGGGAAGGCCTCAGTACTCAGTAGGAACCTCAGGCTGCAGTGGGACCCAGCCAGGGAACCACGTGGTGAGACAGAACAAGTATGTTCTGTCAGTCTCTCCTTTCCTTCCTGAAAACCACTGGTGCTATCACCGGGCCACAGGCAGAAACCTCCTCTAACCAAACTACCCCTAGGGACAGCACCTCCAACAGCTGTCAACCTGTAACACATCCCTATGGGATTATTAGATTCCTTTTAAAAAAAAAATCACTTGATTTATTTGAAATTCAAGAAGTCACAGGGAAAATGGCAGAGAGTTTCCATCCGCTGGTCTCACCCCACATGCCCTCGAGAGCTGGGCCCCAGAGCTAAGCGCCAGGAACTCTGCGGGTCTGTCACAGGAGTGGCAGGGACCTGCTGCCTTGCTGGGTGTGTTAGCAGGAAGCCTGCAAGGGGAACAGGGCTGGGACTGGGACTCAGGTTGTCTGAGGTGGGGTGCAGCATCTTAATTGCCTTGGCAAACATCCCCCTAGTTATTAGATTTCTGACTTGGACTTTAGCGCTGTATTCAAACCATAGTAGTAATTTAAAACTTTTCCAGTATCGCTATCAAAGTGAACAAATTAAATTAACGTATCAAATGACAGTGAAATAACCACAGCATAAAACTTAACCATCTTTACCACCTGTAAGCATACTCAGTTCGGCAGCACTGGGTAAGCTCCTCCCACCAGGGCACAAACATCACACGCTCTATCTTCAGAACTCTGTTCCTCTTGAAAATTGAAACCATCCATTAAACATTAGCTCCCCGAGGCTCCCGGCATCCTCTACTGCTTTTCCAGCCCACAACATTTTTATTTATTCATTTGAAAGTCAGAGTTAGAGAGGGAGAGAGAGAGAACGGGGTGAGTGGGAGGGACTTCTTTCATCCTCTGGTTTACTAACCCGATGGCCACAACCCCCCGGGGCTGAGCCAAGCTGAAGCCAGGAACCGGGGGTCCCGGGGTTCCATCTGGGCTTCCCATGTGAGTGGGAAGGACCAAAAAAAAAATTGAGTCATTTTCCATTAGTTTCCTAGGCATTAGCAGGGAGCTGGATTGGGAGTGGAGCAGCTGGTACTTGAACTGGTGCCCACATGGGTTGCTGGCATCACAGGTGGCAGCTTTACGCACTATGCCACCGTATCAGCCCCAGTCACTGTGAATATGACTACCGCAGGTGCATCAAACAAGTGGAACCTGCAGTGCTTGTCCTTTGGCTACTGGCTTCTTGGGCTGAGTAGAATGTCCTTAGACTCCATTCAGGCCGCGCCTGGGCCGACGTCTACAGGCTGTGTCCGCCGTGTGTTGCTATCATGATTCACCCACGAACACTTGGGTGGCTACCACCTTGGCTATTATAAATAGGATTCCTCTGAGGGCCTGGCGCAGTAGCCTACTGGCTAAAGTCCTTGCCTTGCATGAGCTGGGATTCCACACGGGCACCAATTCTAATCCCAGCCTCCCCACTTCCCATCCAGCTCCCTGCTTGTGGCCTGGGAAAACAGTCAAGGATGGCCCAAGGCCTTGGGACCCTGCACCTGTGTGGGAGACCCGGAAGAGGCTCCTGGCTCCTGGCTTTGGATCAGCTCAGTTCTAGTCATTGTGGCCACTTGGGGAGTGAATCAGCAGACAGAAAATCTTCCTCTCTGTCTCTCCTTCTCTCTGTATATCTGCCTTTCCAATAAAAATAACTAAATCTTTTAAAGAAGATTCCTCTGAATATGGATGTACAAATATCTATGAAAGTGGTAACATTAATGTTAATAATATATGAGAGGACATTTTGGTGCCTATGACGCTGGACCCCACGTCAGAGTGCTAACTAAGCCTCAGCCACTCCCCTTCCCATCCAGAGCCACAAGGATGCTCCGGAAGGTAGTGCAGGATGGCCCACGTGCTTGGAGCCCTGCCACCCTGGGGAGGCCCAGATGAGTTTCCTGGCTCCAGGCTTCGGCCTGCCCAGCCCCACTGTGGCCATTTGGGAAGAGGACCAGTGAATGCAAGATCTCTTCCTGTCTTTCCTGCTCCATCACTCTTCCAAATGAATTAACTAAATCGCTTGCTAAAGATTTATATAAATATATAAATAATATGCAATTCATAGCTAATAAAATATATTAATCATATAATTGATATATAATTAAGTATAACATAATGATATAATCATATAATAAATATATGAAAATGAGATAACTCTTTTACAGCTTGGGACATCTGTATATAGTATGGGAGGGGCTGGATCCAGGTCCCAGCATCCTGACACTGTGTTCCCTGGGAAGTGGCAGATGATGGCTCTGTGGGCTGTGGGCTGTGTGGCCCCATGGTTGGGCTGCTTCTAGACTCATAGAAAGTCATGGGTTAAGTTTCTGGTTCCTGGTTTTGGCCTGGTCCAACCCCAGCTCTCTCTCTCTCTTTTTTTTTTTTTTTTTAAGATTTATTTATTTATTATTGGAAAGACAGATATACAGAGAGAAGGAGACAGGGAGGCAGATCTTCCATCTGTTGATTCTCCCCAAGTGGTCACAACAGTCAGAACTGAGCCAATCCAAAGCCAGGAGTCCAGAGCCTCTTCTGGATCTCCCAAGCAGATACAGGGTCCCAAGGCTTTCGGCCACTCCCCACTGCTCTCCCAGGCCACAAGCAGGAAAACTGGTTGGGAAGCGGGGCCACTGGGATTAGAACTGGTGCCCGGGCCCAGAACAATAACATAATGGTTAAAGTCATCAGCTTGAACGCACCGCGAGTCCATATGGGCGCCGGTTCTAATCCCAACTGCTCTACTTCCCATCCAGCTCCCTGCTTGTGGCCTGGGAAAGCAGTAGAGGATGACCCTGCACCCCCGTTGATCCTAGTTGATCTGTCACAGCCCTTCAGGGGCACCTGTTCTAACCGTGTGCGACTTGCTCCCACGGAGGAACAAGGGGGCCCTTCTTACAGAAAGCAGGGACTTAGAAAAGGCCCCTGTGAGTCCCGCAGAATGTCGTTGCAATGGCCAGGGTCCCCCAGAGAGACGAGGACAGAGACAGGCACCTCCAGGGAGCGCGCTCTGCTCACACCTGTGGAAGCCAGGACTCTGGTCCATCACTGTCTCCTGTACCAGGTGCGCGGAGCTGCTCCTCAAGTTTGGGGCAAGAGTGGATGGTCGGTCTGAGGAGGAAGATGAGACCCCTCTACACGTGGCTGCCCGGCTCGGCCGCGTGGAGATGGCCGACCTGCTTTTGAGACGGGGGGCGTGCCCGGATGCCCGCAACGCTGAAGGCTGGACCCCGCTCCTGGCAGCCTGCGACGCCCGCTGCCGGTCCCCTGCTGATGCAGAGGTCACCAGCACCTGCTGCCTCCAGCTGTGCCGTTTGCTGCTGTCAGCTGGAGCGGATGCTGACGCCGCCGACCAGGACAAGCAGCGGCCCCTGCACCTAGCCTGTCGCCGTGGCCACGCAGCTGTGGTGGAGCTGCTGCTGTCCCACGGGGTCAGCGCTAACGCTATGGACTACGGAGGACACACAGCCCTGCATTGCGCTCTGCAGGGCCCACCTGCAGCCCTGGCCCAGAGCCCCGAGCGGGTGGTGCAGGCTCTGCTCAACCACGGCGCTGTCCGAGTCTGGCCAGGGGCCCTCCCCAAGGTACGAAGGCTGAAGGCAACGAGAGAGGCGCGATGGTGAGGGTGCAGGGAGCTGAGGCTTGTGTGCAGCTGGCTTGGGAAGGCTGCCGGAGCCCTTGGGCACATAGCCTAGTGCCTCTTTCAAGCAGTGATCAGAGCCCACGTGGGGTACCTAGCAGCAGGAAGTATCTGTGTGGGTGCACACGTGTATACTTGCATGTATGTGCGTTAGAGATGGGCAGACAGCAGAGGGCCAGATTTAAAAAGCTGGGAACAGACAGAAGGTGTCGGGCTGTGGTGACTAGCAGGCCACGTTAGGGTCTTCATGGGGGCAGTGACCAGCAGAGGCATCCATCAGGCAGAGATGCCCTGGGGCACAGGGAAGGCTTAGCCAGGAGGGAGCAAGTGCCCCCCAGTCCTCCCACCAAGATCTCCTGAGCATCCACCAACGGCCTCAAGGGTTCCACCTTCTAAGGGCTTAGCTTAGCAGCACACATTTGGGCAACGTCCCCGAGCCTCTGGACTCCCAAATGCCCATTGCTCGTTTTATACTTATAACCTCAGTTGACATGAGTCTCCCTGGAGTGGGCTCCCTTGGCAATCAGAGCTATTGACGCCATGGCAGGGGCACGGGCCCCTGCTGGGTCAGCTCTGCAGGAGCCAGCAGCCTGGGAGCAGCTTGGGAAGGCTGGTGTGAGCTGTGGGCAGCTCCCTACACATCCCACTGTAGGGAAGGTTTTCTCCCTGCCCCAGGGCCCAACCCTGCTGTCCCTGCCTCACCCCTTCGCTCACACACACACACAGAAGCATCTGTCTGGATTCCTAAGCAAGACCAAATAATTAAACAGCCCGAGAGTTCGGCAGATTGGTCTCCCCTTTGGGAAAATACAAGAAAATCAACAATTAACACTAATTAATCTCCTATTAACACCAGATAATTAGGAGACGAGCAATTCCCCGTAATCTGATGGCGGCTCTGACAGCTAATGATTTCCACACCCGGTGAGGTGGGAGGAGGGCGAGGCTCAGCTAAAGGGGTCTCCTGGCCCCCACTGGGCTGCCCCCCACCCTGCGTAGCACGTTAGCCTGTCTTGGGGACCAAGCAGGCAAGCAGACCAAAGGGTCCCGTTGATTCCTCTGGCTTGGCCAGGGTTCCTGTCCTTGCTGCAGCAATCCCTCAGGGACGTGCCACCCCAGCCGATCTCCGGGGCTCACTGTATCAGATTCGGCTCTTGGGAGATGTGGGTCCAGGTTTTAAAGAATTATTATTTATTTTCAATTTATTTGAAAGAAAGCCAGACGAACAAAAACCTTCTGTCCATTGGTTCACTCCCCAAATGCCTACAATACCAAGGCTGAGCTAGGCTGAACTTGAAGTGTGGAATTCAGTCTGGGTCTCCCATGTGGGTGGCAGGGACCACCAAGGCTTGAAACATCACCACTGACTCCCAGGAAACACAGCAGCAGGAAGCCAGACAGGAAGCGGCACAGGGACTTGAACCAAGCAGCCTGACCAATGGAAGCAGGTGTCCCGGCAGAGCCCTAACCGCTGCCAACTCCTGCCCCCAGAGCCTGGCGTCCAGGCTGATGGTGGGAGTTACTGAAATTTGTTGAAGCTCAAGTTCCTAACGGGTGATGCAGCCTCCACCCTACGGGGATGGGAAGCTGAGGAGCAAGATGCAGACAGGAAGATGTACTGGTTAGACCTGTGCTGTCAAGTGTCTCCTTAACCTGGGGTCCTTCCGTGCCCCCCAAAACACCTGTGTGGCCCGTGGTGACTGACAGCACAGACTCCAGGGCTATCACGTGACCTCTGTGTTTTTCCGTGCCTCAAGCACAGCGATAGCAATGCACCTGGTTTATAGAGTTAGTGTAAGAAAGAAAGTTAACACAAGATAGGTCTAGGCTAGGGCTTGGTCTAACCCACAGCTGGTGCTTGGTGTTTGGTAGCTAGTGGTATACATTCTAATGTTAAATAAGGTTATAAAGGGCAGGCATGTTGGTTCCATTGGTTAATCCTCCACCCATGACATCAGGATCCCATATGGGCGCCGGTTCTAATCCCGGCTGCCCCACTTCCCACCCAGCTCCCTGCGGAAAGCAGCGGAGGATGGCCCAAGTCCTTAGGCCCTGTATCCTCATGGGAGACCCAGAAGTTCCTGGCTCCCAGCTTCAGATTGGCTCAGCTTTGAGTGTTGCAGCCATTTGGGAAGTAAACCAGGGAAGGAAAGATTTCTCTCTTGCTCTGTCTCTCCTTCTCTTTCTGCAACTCTTGCTAATAAAGATAAATAAGTATTTAAAAAATAAGGAGGCTTGCGACAACACTTGCTGTGCAATTAGGTACTTTCTCCATAGAAGGTCAGTTGTTAGACATGGAGAGAGAAACACAGGTTTCAGTCACTGCACAGGCTTCCTGGAGGAGGCAGGGCTTGGAAGGAGGGAGGGGCCTGCTCCGTGGTGTAGAAGGCTAAGCCTCCACCTGCAGTGCCAGTATCCCATGTGGGAGCTGGATCCAGCTCCCTGTGAATGTACTTGGAAAAGAAGCAGAGAATAGCCTGAGTCCTTGGGCTCCTGAACCACATAGGGGACCTGGACAAGGCTCCAGGCTCCTGGCTTTGAGCCATCCCCCAGCTCTGACCATTTGGGAATGAACTAGCAGATGGGATAATAAATAATGGAATAATAATAATAAATCTTAGAAAAGGAGGAGGGCGCTGGCATTCCTGGCAGGATGGGCCGTGGAGTAGAATGTGGAGGCAGGGTCCACATGGCATCAGGAAGGGCAGGGCCAGCCTGGAGACGTGGAGGAGTAGCAGGTGGAACAGGAGAGCCTGTGGCTGTTTTCTCCTATCTGTAATGAGTGAGGTCGAGGCCTGTCCCAGACACACAGCACTGTGGCTGTTTTGGTCACATAGCCCAGGGATAGGGCAGGAAGCCAAGGGTGGGGCTGTGTAAAATGTTTGCCCCAGAGGTCCTTTGCCCTGGGCAAAGCCTGGCCTTCCAGCCACTCCCACAGCACACCTGCATGCCCAGACTGTCAGGCAGAGGGAGCCTGGAGCCAGGAGTCTGAGAACCCTGGTGTGACATGCGGGTGTGTGTGTGTGTGTGTAGGGGGTACGCGCAGGTTAAGTGTGGGAATTCAGCCTGAAAGATAGCCGTTAGCAGGTTTTACGCAGGCTTTATGGTGACGGCCTGCAGCTTGAGGTCCATCGGGATACGGCGTGAACAAAGCATGAAGGAGCGCTCAGGGACCCAGGGCAGGCACCAAGGCAGCATGATACCTGCATGCGTCTGGCTTGTGGCTGCCTTCCCTGCTGGCTGTGTGGGTGGTCCTCTCCCTCTGCCAAGCCATCCACGCTGTCCACACAGGCCAGCACCCTCCCTCAGTGCTGATCCATAAGCGATTTGTGATGTACAGGTTATGTCTTCACTTTGAAGCGGGAGCTTCCAGGTGGTGAGGATCTTGTCTCTTCACGGATGAACCCCCCAGTGCCGGTGTGGAAGACCCCATCAGGTTTCTGCTTGCTTGTCCTTCTTGCATGTTCTCCCGGCTCTGGAATTCCTGCTGTCCTCAGAGCCCAAGCCCCCTTCTCCAAATTGGGCGTTCTTTTCCATCCAGTAGTTGAGCTTTCTTCAAAACAATGTTTTTACTTATTTGAAGGGAGAGAGAGAGAGAGCTTCCACCCCCAACTGCTCCCACAGTATCTGGGACTGGGTCAGGTTGAAGCCAGAAGCCAGGAACTCAGCCTGGATCTGCCCTGTGGATGGCACTGGAATGGCTTCCCATGGTGTGCAGGAGCAGGAAGCTGGGTTGGAAGTGGAGCCGGGACATGAGCCAGCCCTTGGCTGTGGGCCTCTAAAGCGCTTTGTTAACCTCTACACCAAATGTTTATCCTGCTTTTTTTCATCTCCAACCAGCAGTCTAGGGCCCCTTTGTGTTTAGCAGAAAACCCAGCCCAGACAGGATGCTGGAGCAGTTAAGGGCATGCAGTGACCGTCAGCCTGGGATTGCCAAACTGCAGCCAGAGCAAGGGATGGCATCTTTTCCATGATCAGTTTCACTGGTTTGCAAATTGAGGGCACCAGCTCATACTGTATGGGGACAAGATGCAAGCGTTCTTAGGTGGAAATCATCTTAGTGATGCATGACGGAAATGGTTGCCCTGGGGGTCCTGGGATGGCTGCACTCCCTGTTACCGAGGCTGAAGCGTCAAGTCCAGGGCTGGGCAGGTTCGTCCCTGCTGGAGGCCCTGACAGGATTCTGTCCCTGCCCGTCTTCTAGGTTCTGGTTGCCCAAAGTCCTTGGCATTCCTTGGTTGCAGACATATTCCTCCAATGCCTGCTTTGTCATCCCCACTTCCCTTCTCACAGGGACACCAGTCAGATTGGATTAGGGCCTAGCTTAATGGCATCATTGTAACCTGATTAGAAGCGCAAAGACGCAAAGACGCTATTTCCAGATAATGTCCCATTCCAGGTAGCAAGCATTAGGACGAAAGGCAACCCCGACAGTTGTCCTAGTGCTGAGGTGAGGGGCCTGACTCGTGTCTGCCCCCTGCAGGTGCTGGAGCGCTGGTGCACGTCCCCGCGAACCATTGAGGTCCTCATGAACACCTACAGCGTCGTGCAGCTTCCGGAGGAGACCGCGGGCCTGGTACCCCCCGAAACTCTGCAGGTCAGACCCCAGGCTGGGCAGCCGCTCAGCCTGGCCCCAAGGGACCGTCAGCCTCTCCCAGCCTTCCCAACCCCTGCCGGAGACTCCCTCACGTCCCAGAAACAGAGGCCTTGTGGAGGGAGCACCTGTAGGATTTGCTGCTTCCAGGAGGTTCCTTATAGACACCCCAGGGGCCCATCAGGAGGAGTGGGTGTCATCTGCCGGTAGCTGCCCCTGACAGAGCCCCGCATTCTGCTTGCAGAAGCACCAGCGCTTCTACTCCTCCCTCTTCGCTTTGGTGAGGCAGCCCCGCGCACTGCAGCACCTGTGCCGCTGCGCCCTGCGCGCTCACCTGGCAGAGCGCCTGCCCCAGGCCCTGCCCCGCCTCCCCCTGCCACCCCGCCTGCTCCGTTACCTGCAGCTCGACTTCGAGGACGTGCTCTACTAGGTGAGCCAAGGGGGCTGGCCACGGTCACAACATCTGGGGACAGGCGGTGGGGAGGAGAGACGGGCGGAAGTGGAGCGGCCCCAGGTCCCATCCAGCCCCCTGCTGACCACCAGACTTCTCCGTAGCCACAGGTCTCCTTCCACGTGTGCCCTTGGGGAGTGCGTGCCCAAGGCTGCAAGCGGTACCCTGTGCACCGGCTCAGCTCAGGTGGCCCCATCATCTCCATGGGCAGGGCAGGTGTCTGGGCTATGATTCCAATCCCAGAGAGGTGGGCAGACTGTGGCAAGCCAAGTGACATTTGCTGAGACAGTGAGGACTTGCGGGAAAGGACACACTCCCCTTGGGGCTCCCCTGAAGTCCCCTCAAGCCTGAGCAAATTGTATGTGCATTAAAATCTGATGTTCAGTGCTGTCTGTAGCAGGCTCGCCTGCAGGTTGGTAGGGAAGTCAGGGCGGGCTGACTGACAGGTCTTCCTGCCAGCTCGTGGGTGCCGGCTGCCTCATCCTCTCCCTTTAGCGGCCACCACCTGGAGAGTGAGCCAATGGATCAAAGGCTCTCTCTCTCCCTCAATCTCCCTCAACTCTCTCTCTCTCTTTCTGTGACTCTTTCAAATAAATCTTTTTAAAAAGTCATTCGCGTGGTCGTGTTTCATGTTAACCTCTGCCTGCGGCGCTGGCCTCCCATGTGGGTGCCCATTCAAATCTTGGTAGTTCCACTTCTGATCCAGCTTGCTACTAGTGTGTCTGGGAGAGCAGCAGAGGCTGGCCCAGGGGCGTGGCCGTTGTGGCCATTTGGGGCATGAACCAGCAGATGGAAGATCTCTCTCCCTGTCTCATTTTCTTTCTGTAACTCTGACCTTCAAATAATAAATAACTCTTTTAAAAAGGGATAGGTAAAGTGAGACAGCCACTGTGCAAAAAGGGGCTTGTCAGTAAGGGAAGCCTGGAGGGTGGGAGGAGACAGAAAGGCCACCGGGAGGGGGTGCCTTGGAGGAGGGACGGGGACTTGCGGGGAGGGCAGGGTCCAGGTTCAGCATGGAGTCTACCTACTGTCTGACACCAGGTGTCGGGGACCCGGCTTCACACCTGGTTCTTGTTGCCACTTTCAAAAAAAAAAAAAAAATGCTACGTGGCTGATGCAATGGCTAATCCTCTATCTGCAAGTGCCAGCATCCCATATGGGCTCCGGTTCTAATCCTGCCAGCCCCACTTCCCACCCAGCTCCCTGCTGTGGCCTGGAAACGCAGTAGAGGACGGCTCAAAGTCTTGGGACCCCGCACCCGCGTGGGAGACCCGGAAGAAGCTCCCGGCTCCTGGCTTTGGATCAGCTCAGTTCCAGTCATTGTGGCCTCTTGGGGAGTGAACCAGCACATAGAAGATCTACCTTCTTCTCTCTGTAAATCTGCATTTCCAATACAAAAAATGATTTTTATTTATTCAACAATAAATTATGTTTTAGGAGTAACAGATTTATTTATTTATTTAGGAATAACAAATTTCTGTTCTCTGTCTCGCTCCCTGAATGCTCCCAACAGTGAGGCTGGGCCCTGCAGAAGCCAGAAGTCAGGAGTAGCCTCTGGGTCCCCTAGCCACAGGTACCTGCTGCTGCCTTCCCAGGTCAATTAGCAGGAGGCTGGATGGGAAGTGGAGCATTGGTCCTTGAACTGGTGCCCCGATGTGGGACACAGGCATTGCAAGCAGTGGCTTAATGCGCTGTGCCATAGCAGCTGCCCACTCCCACTTCGACAACTCATCACTAACTTTAGCATGGAGAATTCTGAGCCAAGTCACAGGACCTTCTAGTCTTTTTTTTTTTTTTTTAAGATGTATTTGTTTTTATGTACAGAGAGGAGGAGAGACAGAGAGGAAGATCTCCCATCTGATGGTTCGCTCCCCAAGTGACCACAATGGCCGGCGCTACACCGATCCGAAGCCAGGAGCCAGGAACTTCTTTTCCAGGTCTCCCACATGGATGCAGAGTCCCAAGGCTCTGGGCCGTCCTCAACTGCTTTCCCAGGTCACAAGCAGGGAGCTGGATGGGAAGTGGAGCTGCTGGGATTAGAACCAGCGCCCATATGGGATCCCCGCGCGTTCAAGGCGAGGACCTTAACCACTGCATTATCGCTCTGGGCCCTGGAACTTCTAGTCTTAATTCTGCCTTTCCCTCTCAAGGCAGTGTCAGTCACCTGTCCTTTTCGGGCTCAAGTTTCTGCATCAGTGGTAAAGCAAGAGGGCGGGGAAAGAGGGTCCCAGCCAGGACCAGGATCTTTTCTTTTTTATTTTGATAATATTTAGATAGCTGATTAGGGCACAAAGGGTCAAGGGCTACAGGAAAGTGGGTAAGACTTTTGTTTCCACATTCTCTCTCTCTCTCTTTTTCTTCTGTATCTGGGGTGAAGGGGGAGATAAAGGGAGAAGCCCACCCAGCCTCACACCCATTCCAGGGTCCCTGACATGGGGCATGCTCCGAGGGTCCTGCTCAAGTGGTTTTGAGAGTTCAACAGTTCCGAATTGCTGCCAATATCACCACTCCAAGCATGATGAAATCTCTCCAGAATCCACTGGTTGACATAGTCCACCTTAGAATCTCTATTTGCCCAGATTTTCACTGCCAACACGTGGCTGGGGTAGTTGATTGACTTTTTCTGTTCTCTGTCCTCTGTTGCGGTCCTGGGTATAGGATCAGGAGTTTTGAGAACTTTCAGAACAGCAGCACTGGACCAGGCTGGCAACTACAAGAGCAGCAGCCTATCAGGTGCATTGTGCCATGTGACATCAACGGTTGCCAGGCAATGACCCAGGGCTCTGGAGCGTGCCTGTGCCGCCAGCCTCTGGTGCTGGAGGACATGAGGCCGGATGGAGTGAGGACCTGAATGGAGAGCCTGGGAGGACTTGAGAAGACAGATGAGATGGGGAGTGGTACTGGAGTCCCCCTCATGCCAGCAGGGTCCCTGGGCTGGCTGGACTTAGGGTACAGAGGCACCACTCTGGGACCAGAGGTGTGAATGGGTGAGAGTCTGAGCTGAAGTCACTCTGGGCTGATCCCACCTGCTCCATGTCATCCGGGGAAAGGTCGGGGATCAGGAAGTAGTGTTATTCCCAGGACATGCAAGGGGGGTGGGGTTCAACCTGACACTCGAGGTCTTTGTTCACTAGCCAGGACTGTTAGGGGCATTGCTTGGGGATCTTCTCCATTCCCGGTGGGAGGAGAGTCAGCTGTGTTCCAGGTACTTTAGCTAGGCGGATGAGCTCCACTTTGCCTTCCAGTGGAGATCAGAGACAGCAGATGGGGGACAGCATCCATCAGTGACAAACACCAGGGGAGAAGGACAAAAGGGAGTCATGGGCCAGGGACAAGTGGGAGCTGACGGAGAGACCAGCCACAGGGGCAGAGCAGGGTGACAGAGGAGCTGGCCACAGTGGCAGAGCGGGGGACAGAGGAGCCACCCATGGGGGCAGAGCGGGGTGACGGGAAGGGGGGGGGGTCAAGTACACACTGACTGCTTCATGGCCAGAGAGAGCTGCTGCCAAGAGCTGGGGTGGCAACAGCTGAAAGCTGGGGTGCATGCCCTGGAGAACTGAAGGGCTTTGCTGATGGGCGGGAGGAGCCACTGAAGGAAGGCGCCATGGGGGATATCCAGACCTTTGGCTTGAGCACCTGGATGGGCGATGGCACACACGATCAGGGCGAGGAAGATGGGGAAGCAGCGGGCATCCAGAGGCAGCTCTGAGTGGGGCACAGTAAGCTGCAGCTGTCTGTTAGAGCTCTCCTGGGGCTGCGTCCAAGGGCATTGGAGTTCAGGGCCAAGGGCAAGTCTGGACGCGCCAATGTGGGCTTCCTGACATGTGAAAGATATTCACGGCACTGCCCCAAAGAGAACCCTGACTCTCAGGGGGGCTGCGCCCCAGAATCCTGTGGGTGCACCAATGGAAATGCCATGAACGTTCCACCTCTTTGTTCACCTTGTGCGTCCCGCGCTCCAGGCGTGGGGTACCAGGAACACTGCCGTGAGGGAGGCAGGCTCCTGTCCTCAACGGATGGTCCGTCTGTCCTGAGAAGAGTGTGTGCACGACAGGCTAGAATGAGCACTGCCGGGAAGGTGGAAGAAGCAAGATAGCAGAAGCTGCGGGCGTGGAGAAGGAGGTGGAAAACAGGAGCCGACATCTGGGGGCACTTCGCCCAAGTGTGTCTTCTCCAAGTAGCGCCAGGGCTAAGGGGGGATTCTAAGTGGAAGGGCAGAGTGTTTGATGACTAGAATAGCTTTTTTGAACGTTTATTGACTTATTTCAAAGGAAGAGGGACAGAAAGAGTCAGACAGAGAAAGATCTTCCATCTGCTGGTTCACTCCCCAAATGGCTGCAACCGCTGGAGCTGGGAAGCAGAAGCCGGCAGCTAGAACTCCAGGAGATGGCCTCTGAAGGAAGCAGGGAGGAGGAAAGCGGGTGTGGGGTGGTCCGCACGAGGACGCTGTGCCTGTCCTCCCGAGGCAGTGCTGGGAGGGTCCTTCCTGGGGGTTACACATCCAGACACCCGGCAAGCCAGGGAGCCTCCTCCCCAGCCTCCCGGCAGTCGGTCTCGCGGGCCCAGAACCTCTCCCCGGTAATTGCTTTCCATAATGTGTTTGCTCCAAACCAATTTCACGCCTCTGTGAGGACTCCGCCCTGCACTGGAGGCACGGACCTCCCCACCACCAACTTAGCCGCACTGTGAACATGGGGGAATCACACACACAGCACACGTTTAACACAACAGAGTTCAGGTACTGGGGTGCAACAAACATACAGAAACTTACGGGTGCCTGCTAGTCTGCAAGGCCCTCGCGTACGTCGTTCCCCCTCCGAAGCCCGCCCACCTGCCCAGTCCAGGACATCCGCAGTTGAAGCACAGCGCGGTGACCCGGCTCTCACCTGCTCCTGCTCCCATTTGCCCTCGGCCAGTGTGTAGGAAGAACGCAAGGGGGCGCTGCAGCACCCTGCACGGCCCTCGCGGTGTCTGCAGTT